TATCCTCTAATGATTCAGCACTGACATTCACTTCTTCCTTTTTATTAAAGTTGTTATCAATAAAAGACTGGATTCTGTTGTTAAATTCACTATGTGTTAAGCCATTTCTTAGTTGTCTAAGGGACTCTTGGTAGTATGAAACAATAGTTACTCTCGCTCCTGTAGATTCTTGAAAACTTCTGAGGTTACTGAAGAAATGGGGTAGCGCTACTTTATCTCTTACGCATCCGATGGGAGAGCATATAAGATGTTTTAGCCCTTTGGTTTTGAAATCTGTAGTCAAATCTTTAAAAGCTGTTGTGTAGTCAGATATGTCCGGTTTACCAAAATAGTTGGCTTTTGTAACCAAATTGTAAACCGTAGCACAATGCAAAGTGGATTGCACTGCTAGATGTGATGAAATGCAGTGGTGCGATTCTGGTCTGCCAAAGTGTCGCCTAAAGACAACTGCCACTCCTGCTGTCATGTGACGTGGATGGTTAAAATCAGCTGAAATACTGTGTGCGAACCCTACTGATTGGTCATGCTGGTAATTTTTAATAACATCAAACATAGGTTTTTCAGTTAGATGGATTTTAAATTGGTTTGAAGCTTTAGTGTCAGTAAAATCTGCAGGGATAGTGTTTGCAAATGCAACCTTATGATTGTTTTTCAGATCATCAATCACCTCCTTTAAGTTGTCTTCAGTCTCAATCAGTTTTGGGATTGAGGAGCTGGCTGGAGAAACCATTGGTGTACTGCGAGAAATACTCCGAGGCTTTTTAGCATACCAAAGAGAAACAGCATCTATTATTGTATGGGCTAATTTGTTCTTACCCCTACCATTGAGATGGAGGCCATGATTAGTGAAGTCCGGTCTCTGAAATCGGTTAAGATTAATTAAAGTTACATTGGTTAGCCTTTTGGTTAATTCTTCTATGTAGTTGTTTACCTTCCTGATTTCAACATTCTGGTAACTGTGTGCTGGTAAGTCGTGTCTTGCTGGTATTGTGCAGATGAAAACTTGTCTGTTGTTGCTTGAAGAAAGTTTTTTTTCCAAATTTCCATAAATATCTGTGAAATTATTCTTCAAGCTGTCATTGCTTCCTCCGAGTAATACCACTGTATTTTCTTTTTCAATTTGTGCCGAATCCACTACTTGTGTTAATGTTGTGTTAGCTCTAATGTACCCGAAAGTATTTATTTTACCATTACTTAACTCAGAGATCTTAAAAGGTACAGAACTGCCTTGACTGTCTGAACAAAAGGTAATGTTGATTATAGGGACTCTATATTTCTTCTTTTGGTTTTTCCTTTGCTGCGATCCGGACATACCAAATTTTCTTCCTTGTTTATTAGAAACTGGTTTTCTGTATATAGGACCACAAGAAACATCTTTCTTTTCTGAGTCATTGAGGCTCCCCAAGATTTCAAATTTGTTACTAACTGGAATCCCAGCATTAGAGTAGTAGCAAGCTCGTTTCTCCTTTGCCAGGTTTGATGCAACTGTTGTCCAAGTGTTTTCAGTTTGGACACCCTGATTGACACAGTTTAGAGGTGTGTTAGTTGAAGGTGGTAGCGAATGCTGATGAGATGGCTGCATCTCCTATTGTACCTGTTTTTTATGTGATGTTTCATTTTCCAGTATACTTTGTATGGTTTTACTGTTCAAAGATGCTCTATTATGTATCATGTAAGCCATGCAACCTCTCTTACGAATCAGCTCAGCTTCATCAAATTGCATGCAAATTGCATGTAAACTTATTGGTGTCAGTTTGAAAAAGCAGCCTGATACAAACAACTTTTTGTTATATAATAGATTATGTATTCTCTAAACAATGATTGGTATTTCATTAGAAGGAAATGTGACAAAAATCACATAATATGCTGGGTTTTTGGACGTTTGTAATTTTATTTCTTAAGTAGGGAGGCTGTATATTCTAGGGTAAAGTACCGGTATCAAGGATCGTCGTCGAAAAGGTTGTTATGAATAATTGGGTAGGCGTAAGTAGCCAAGAGATGGGCTATGGGCCTATTGGCTGTATGGTCCAGAGATTGCATCACACAGTGAGTAGGAACAGAAAGTGACACATTGGAAAAGCGAGTTTAGCATCTTAAACCGTAAACATCTATTACAATCTCCCACTGCAGTTTTGATTTTTTACTTTACACAACCGCCATTGAATGAGTGGAAACCTTGTTTGTAAGCTATTGGTGACGGTCATTAATAAATTTTAGTTTCCCAGCCCTATACAACACTGATTCAAGGTCTTCTTTCTGGCTATCAAAACTCAAGAACAATTTTATACACACAAAGAATCTCTGGTTCCTGACCTGGATGATGCCTAATTATTCAATTTCACTTACAGTTACACTATGTTATTGCACTTGTGATTAATTAAATCCGTTATGTAAGAAAAACGTTTTTAATGTCACTTGGTTTTGCTTTCAAAACGTGATTGAAAATGATTGCGGTCTTTGTAAACAACTTGAAAACATATCAATGACCGATACAAAAAATAATCTTGATCCTACCAGCTGTTCGTTATTTCATAGATGAATATGTGATAAAAATTGGACGAAAACTTGACAAAAATCGCACGAATCTGCATTTTTGAACGTCCGTAATTTTATTTACAAAGTAGGCCTAGTGAGGCCATATTTTAATGCCTAAAGACACTCTCGCCAATCCAGTGAATACATTGAAATGACTTGGATCTTGATAGATACTCTCGTTTTCCTGGAGAAGATAGCGTACAATGCCATTTTGAATGTTACAGACAGACAGAAAGACAGAAATTTAGATGACATTTGTTTCGGCTTCTTTAATGTAGCCTATAAAACGTAAAAATAACCTAAAATTATGATTCTGAGCAATGTACAGACAAAACTCTAATTTTTTATATATAGATGTCATATTTTGTCATTTCCTGTTTCCATGTCGTCAGATTTAGATTTTCATAAGTGAATTTTGTATCCATTTTGATCTAATTATTTGGTAGTAATAGATAGACATTGTATTATAGTTTATACTTTTATACCTACTTATTTTCACTTTGTATACTCATTGTATTTTCAATTAAAACGATTTTATAAATACCTATGTGATGTGGAAAGCGAAAAGGGACCTCTTGTCGGCAATCCAAAATTTTCAGTACGTCCGATATAAGTAATTAAGGTCAAAAATTTTGAAATACGCTTTTTTATCGATTGTTATACCTTATTTATCATAGAACAGGACAGTATTGGTTGAAATATAGAATTGAAGACATAAAAGGTCTAAATAAATAATTTTGTTAGCCTCTGCTCTGCACGGTCTGAGAAAAGGTACCTCTTGTCGCTCAATGTTATTTCGCCATAACAAACAAGATGAGGTGCCATTTCTAATATTCACTTTATAAACAGACTTTAGTCCAAAAAATGAATTTTCCTGCATTCTAGAGGAAATTTAGAGAACTAAAACTAAGTTAAGGAGAACACGATATCTCACAAATTTTGTAGTCCCGACAAGAGGTCCCTTTTCAGAAATGCTGTTTTTACGACATGCTTCAATAAAACAATTAAGTTATTTAGGTAAATGAAAACTACCGGGAGTTAAGAGAAAAATTGGTTTTTTCCTCCAAAGAGGACATTATAAGCTTTCTTTTGATACCAAAATTGTTTCTTAAATACGAAAAAAACAGTTTATAATGCGTATTTGAAACTTTCAAAATAGTTTTTCTCAAAATGACCCTTTTCCATAACAAAATTTCAAAGTCCTATAACTTTAACAAATAAAATTGTATAGATGCATGGGACTTGCACCAAGTGATTCAGAATTTAATAAGGAATTTTAATATATATATAACTCAAAATCAAAAATTCCCAACAAGAGGTCCCTATAAATAGGTAGGGATTTATTTGCTTTCCACGTCACATATATAGGCCTATATTTGAATTTATCAATCATCTGCTGGTCCTCTTAAACCTTTCTTATTTCAATTCTGGTAATAGTCCCCTATACTTCATTCAAACAGGTCAGAGTATAATATTCATTAACAAGCCACTAAGTACAAAAGATATACCTTGGGTACAACACTATAATTAGAAAAATAGAGTCAGTAGAGTTTTAAGATTGTTTTCAGCTTTAGAATAATTAAACAGTAAGTTAGACCTACCAGGGACATTTTCTAAGGACTTCTGGGGATATTTTATTCCATAGGGCCCATTTTTATTTAACATCAAGCTTCCACTGCCAACGCTCTGTTAAGTAATTTTTATTCACTTTGTTCTTCCAACCCAGGGGCAAACAAGATTGGTAAAGAACCAGTCAATTGAGAGATGTTTGAGAGCATAGTGTTAACTTATAAGTAAAGAAATCTTTATATTTCTTTACAAGTGAAATATATTTGAGTATACCTATATATACTTACTCAAATATATAAGAGCAATGTCTTTTTTCTTAACAATATTGATCACCATGTTCATTCGGCTGTTTGGGATACCACTTTCTACCCTTTATTTCAACGCTAGGCAATAACTTAGGCCTACATGTAGGCCTAATGAAAATTCCTGTAATCATCTCTAAACGTGTTAAGATGGTTTTTTTTTACAATTAACATGATTTTACAGAAATAACTTAAACATAAGTAACACTACTTGTATAGATCGCCAATATAGCCTATCATTTGTTAGTTTTGATGTAGCCTAGGCTACCTATCAAAAAATAAAATATCAATACCGTAACTTAAGTTAGGGAAACAATTATCGATAATAATGAATGTTTCCTAAGAGTATCAGGAAAGTAGGCCTACCGTTTTATATTTAATTTTTCCATAACTCTAAGCTATAAGTTAATCAATCTTCTTGCTAAAGAACTACAGTAAGTGTATTAGGCCTAACTTAGTTGTTGGATACTCTAGTTACAAACTAGGTTAAGTTACTTAACTCCTTAGACCTTAGGCCCTTCACCTAACAATCAACTAGGATAAATCAATTAGATTAAATCCTGATGCCTTACATGGTATTACATTTATAATTACCTGTAACTGGCCTTGTTAAGGTACTTCTTATAGTAAAGCATTTAAGAACTCCTAGCCTAGCCTACTCCTACTCAATAAAGGAATTAGGAAAACAAACAATGGTTTACAGTTAACAGCTGGAGCTGTACCAACCAATACCAATTTGAAGTACCTGGGGTTTAAGTATTGAAATGAACTCAACTTGGACTCGGACTGGGCATTGTAACCTAAGAAAAGGGAAAAATGAAAATTAAAAATAGGAAATAGATTTCTAAATAAGTAAGATATATGTTTAATGTTAAAGACAATTTTTTACACCAGTGTTTGTTTTCTTGAAAAGTATTTTAATAACTAATTGATTACTCGGGCATAATGAAAAATAAAATTTAACATACTCCTTGTGTTGTGTTGGGTAGTTTGTCTATGACGTAATTCCTTCCACCATGATTATCACCATAGACTAACCAACACAAGGTAGTATGTTTTATCTATGTTATCACCTACTCGCTTTGAATCCAGATCCATGTCGCTGTCGCTGCCATGGATAAATTTAATAAATTTATGTTCATAAATTTTAATTTTAATTAACGAGAAATAATGAGCTGGTGTCACCAGTCTGCCATGTTATCTTATGGGACGTCTGGCGCTAGACGACACCACTTGCAATGTTGCCAATTCTACAAGGCTGCGGCCTGTAGTTAAAGGTGACTCACGTCAATGAGTCACCACGACAACCCACCACCACCAGTTTTTATCATAAGTGGCGGGTTGTCTTGAAGCTCCATGTTTGATGTCAACCCACCCCTTTCGTACGTAGGCGACAACGTGCAACCCCAAACCCGCCACTACTTTTGCAAGGTGGCGGGTTGACGTGTACGCTCAATGTTCGGTGCCGTCAATCCGCCACCTTGTAAGTAGACGTCATCCAGCCACCACACTAAAGAGGTGGAGCATGACCTCCTATAACTACTATAACAGGCCGTGGTCTTCAAAGTGACAACGTCGCAAGTAGGGTTGTAACAGCTGTTTTGTTTGGAAGCAGCTAATGGTATTTGTGTATTTAAGAAAGCTTGGTTACTGGACTATGAAAATATTGACTCTACTTTAAATGTACGGATATAGATTTTCAATTCTGTATGTTTTCATCCTACTAATATTATAAATGAGAAAGTTTGGATGGATGTATGTTTGTGACAAGTGAACGCGAAAAATACTGGTCGGATTGGGCTGAAATTTGGCATGATGATAGCTCACATTCCCGATTAACATATAGGCCTTAGGCATATTCTTATTTCAAAAATCCTTTCGGGCTCCGCCCCAGTGGCTCTGGAGTTTCCCATGTTAAACTTATGAGAAATGGAGTTATTGAATCTTAACAGCTGTTTCAACTAAACAAGTTGGTTCTGTTCTATGATGTTCAATAGCATTAAAGTTACAAGAATTACCAACAGGGTGCAGCACTATTATTTATTTTACATTTATTATGACAACAGCTAATTTGCAACCAAAAGGTGAGTGAGCGTAGCGAACGAACTTCAACCTGGAGGCGAGTTAGCGTAGCGAACGAGCTAACCTGAAGGCAAGTGAGCGCAGCGAACGGGCTCCAACCTAAAGGTGAGTGAGCGTAGCGAACAAACTTCAACCAGGACGTGATTGAGCCATGCGAACGAGATAATCTTGAAAATTAAGAAGTTAAACGGGGCAAAGCCCGTGGGTTACAGCTAGTTTTCAATATTTTAATAAATTTTTTGTTCATAAATTTTAATTTAAATCAATAAAGTGCGAAGCTGCGACAAGTGGAGTCCGCTCTCCGCGTTCCACTCTCCGCTCGCCGATTCCCCGTCTAGGAAAACCCGGCTTAAGATAACATGGCAGACAGATCAGCTGCAGCTTTCGCAGCTAAAAATGATTGAGGCAATGGTTATTTAAAGTAATTTTGAACTGCCATTTTGTTATTAATGGTCCGATTTCTTTTTTCTTTATGTTATTTGTTATGTTTCGTCAAGACCTGTAAAATGACCAAACTCGACTATTATACTTGCTATTTGAAAATTTTGAGCTACCCCCTACCCCCGCTACCCCTGAGGGCAAAATTTTCAAAACTGATCATAATTATTGTAGCCCTTCGTATCGAAACAAGTTGCCGCAAACCAATTTCAAATATCTCAAATAGTTAAAAGGTTAAAGAGGGTGCAAGTTAATTTTTTGCCACCCTCATGGTTATTTGGATTTGAAACGTTTTAGGGCGCCATTTTGTTATTTGGATTTGAAACGTTTTAGGGCGCCATTTTGTTATTAGTGAGCCGATTTTGGTTTTCTTTACGTCAATGTTTATGTTTCGTCAAGACCTGTAAAATGATACCAAACTCGACTATACTTGCTATTTAAAATTTTTTAGCTACCCCCTACCCCTGCTACCCCTAAGAGCAAAATTTTCAAAACTGACCATAATTATTGTAGCCCTTCGTATCCAAACAAGTTGCCGCAAACCAATTTCAAATATCTCAAATAGTTAAAAAGTTAAAGAGGGTGGAAGTTCATTTTTTTGCCACCCTCATGGTTATTTGGATTTGAAACGTTTTAGGGCGCCATTTTGTTATTAGTGAGCCGATTTTGGTTTTCTTTATGTCAATGTTTATGTTTCGTCAAGACCTGTAAAATGATACCAAACTTGACTTTGCTTGTAATTTGAAAATTTTGAGCTACCCCCTACCCCCGCTACCCCTAAGGGAAAAATTTTCAAAATTGACTATATTTATTGTAGCCCCTCATATCTAAGAAGGTTGCCGCAAACCGATTTCAAATATCTCAAATGGTTGAAAAGTTAAGGGGGGGTGCAAGTTACTTTTCAGCCACCCTGTATAATCCCAGTCGGCTTATACGTAAACGAAAGTTGCTCCCCATGTCATGTCTTACGGGAGTTAAATTTGTTTTTAGTTTTTCGATTTCGTTCGGCTCTTCTACCCGACCGATTTTCATGATTGAGGTCTCGAATTGAAGATATGCACGCCAAGATTTGCCATCAAGTATCGGAAAATTATGAACATAAATTAAAAACAATTAAATTAACAACATATAAACATTAGCTCATTAGTGTATATGATATGACAGTTACAATGCGGTGTTTTACAAAATCTATGTGTTAACAAAAAGCCTATCGTTTCTATAGGTACGAAAGAAAAAATTCAAACTTGTTATAAAGGTTTGTTTTATTAGTTTTAATAATATTAATCTGCCAAAAAATATGACAATTTTAGCGTATTGTTAAAAAACAATATGTTAATTTTGGTTCAAAAACTTTTTTGACAAACAGAAATTTTATATATATTATCTGGTTGTTTTTTAGGCTAAACTAAGAACCTCGTCCATACATCTATATATACAAAAACCTGACAGTTTAACAATACAGTGTGTGTTCTCTCTGGGGTCAATAAAAAAATTTAATCTGAACCATCAGGTCTTACTGTTACCTTGCCATCTACCAACATCTTCTTTCCTTAAAAGGGGAATTTGCCAAAAGCAGAAGAATACAACTAAGAAATAAACAGTTCAAGATAAATCACTGCTATTTGTAAAAACATGTCATAACCTTGACCTAGCATTTCATCTTAACAACATTTTATCAAGGAAACAAATGAACTAATATTGTTAAGTATTTCATTGCATCAAATAAAAAGAATCAAGAGTGTGGAAGTGTGCCTTATAAGGTCTCGCTCCAGCATGAACCCTTGTGTGATGACCCCTCAAATAATCTTTTGTTGCAAAAGTTTTTCCACATGTAGAGAACTTATAAGGTAACATTCAGATTATAAAAGATCAAAATTCAGATTATAAGGTAATATTCAGATTCTTGTTCTTATTTTCTCCATAGTATGAACCATTGTGTAATGAACCTTCAAAGCGCCTTTGGTTGTAAAAATCTGTTCACATATAGAACATTTATAATGTCTCTTCCCTCCAGTATGAACCCTTATGTGACTTCTCAAATCATCTTTTGTTGCCAAAGATTTTTCACATGAAGAGCACTTATATGGTCTCTCTCCAGTATGAACCCTTGTGTGATGATCCTTCAAAGTTAGTTTTGCTGCAAAAGATTTTTCACATGTAGAGCATTTATGTCTCTTCCCTCCAGTATGAACCCTTATGTGACGTGTCAAATCATCTTTCGTCGCAAAAGATTTTTCACATGTAGAGCACTTATAAGGTCTCTCTCCAGTATGAATCCTTGTGTGATGTTCCTCCAAAGTTTGTTTTGCTGCAAAAGATTTTTCACATGTAGAACACTTATAAGGTCTCTCTCCAGTATGAACCCTTGAGTGATGAACCTTCAAAGCTAGTTTTGTTGCAAAAGATTTTTCACATGTAGAGCACTTATAAGGTCTCTCTCCAGCATGAACCCTTAGATGACCCTTCAAACCGTCTATCCTTGCAAAACTCTTTTCACATATAGAACACTTATAAGGTCTCTTCCCTCTAGTATGAACCCCTATGTGAGCCCTCAAATCATCTTTTGTCGCAAAAGATTTTTCACATGTAGAGCACATATATGGTCTCTCTCCAGTATGAATCCTTGTGTAATGTTCCTCCAAAGTTTTTTTTGCTGCAAAAGATTTTTCACATGTAGAGCACTTATAAGGTCTCTCTCCAGTATGAACCCTTGAGTGATGTAACTTCAAATACTCTTTTGTCACAAAATATTTTTCACATGTGGAGCACTTATAAGGTTTCTCTCTAGTATGGCCCCTTGTAAGATGACCCTTCAAAACGTCTTTCCTTGCAAAACTCTTTTCACATATAGAACACTTATAAGGTCTCATTTCTCCAGTATGAACCCTTTTGTGATACATAGATATGTGACCCGTCAAATCACTTTTTGTTGCAAAAGTTTTTTCACATAAAGAACAGTTATAAGGTCTCTCTCTAGTATGAACCCTTTTGTGGTGACCCCTCAAAATGTCTATCCTTGCAAAAGATTTTTCACATGTGGAACACTTATAAGGTCTCTCTTTAGTATGGACCATTGTGTGATGTTTCTTCAAAACGTTTTTTGTCACAAAATATTTTTCACATGTAGAACACTTAAAAGGTCTCTCTCCAGTATGACCCCTTGTATGAAGCTTCATCTCATTCTTGGTCAGAAAAGTATTTTCACAAATATTGCATTTATAAGGTCTCTCACCTGAATGTCTCTTTGTGTGATGTATCATATTACTTTTCAATTTAAAGGATTTTCCGCATGTATTGCAATTAAAAGGTCTCTCTTCTCCAGTATGAATTAATGTATGATTCTTTAAATACATTTTGGCCGCAAAGGATTTCCCACATATAGAACACTTATAAGGTCTCTCTACTGAATGGACCAATGAGTGTATCTTCATATAGCTTTTGGATGCAAAGGATTTTCCACATGTAGTACATTTGTAAGGACCCTTCCCAGAGTGATTTAACAAGTGACTCTTTATTTGATGTATTTGGGCAAAGGTCTTTTCGCAGACTAAACATTTAAAGGGATGCTCGCCAGTATGTAATAATATATGAGCTTTTGACAATTGTTTTGAACAGATCATTCCACAAAATAGACACTTGATAGTATGCATTTTAATGTGTTTTGGTACTTTTGTAATTTGGCCCTTTCTTGTTTATCAGTTAAGCTAGTAACTATTCGGAGGGCCAAACTAGTTAGAAAACCTTGTATGACAATTGAAATATCTTCCTTGTTTGGATTTGCTAAATGTTTAGCGGTTACATATAGCAATCTAGATAAACTTTAAATTGTCTCTTGCTCATAAAACTTTTATGCATATCAGAGATATTACAACATATTTGAGGGATTTTTCTGTCTTCTCTAGTATTTTAAGATACATAATAACATATAAATTATTAAATTGAATATGCTTTTCTTCATATTTTTTACAATTATTATAATTTAAATTCTAGTTGTACATTCTAGTTAATTACTTCATTTGTTCTTTGAAGTTTAGTATAAGTATTATTTTAAACTGTTGTTCAAACAATTATGTCAGAGATTAATTCTATTAGTTTCCTTGCTATAAACTGAATTTCTGTTATCTTATACTTGGGCTCTTGGATTATCATTTCTGAAAAAGATAATGATTTATTAGTCACATTAATCCATCAAATTAACATAATTTTTTTGTATGGAATTCCATAATAACTTTGACTACTTTTCTTATTAGCTAATAAGGTAGATTTCAGTTATGTGTCAGTCAATGAATTTTATGTGGATGGAACTTAATGTATTGATTAATGTCAATGTGATACTGATAATTGTATTGTATAAAACAAATTAAGAATGTATCCTAAACTATACAGCAAAAAATATTTATTGTAGGCTAACTGTAGCTGAATACTATCATAATCATACGTAACTCGTAATATTTGTTTAAACATTAAAAACTATCAAATCAAACTATTCAGTCAATTGTAACTATTGTCAAAACAATTATTTTCAACTGATTGTCAATTGGGTTTCCATATATATGTGTATAGATTGTTTAATAGTATTATTTTCCAATATAATTGATCTAGTTTTTTCCTAGAAAGAGAGTAAAAAAATGTGAATAAAAGTAAATTTAATGGGATAAACCAGGATTTATTAACATAACAAAAAGATATTGCAGAGCTTACAAAATAAGCAAAAATGTCTGGTAATATAGAAATGATGTATCATTGTAAACTCTTAAATACAAATTATGAAAGTAGATTGATCAAGGCGGCAAAATCTTTTTACAATCAACTCATAAATAAATCAGAAAATGTTAGTAAGAAACCGTGGGAGATAATTAATTTTGAAACTGGTAATAAATCTAAATGTATTAAGGATTCTCCTCCTGAAATTAGAATTAACGAGTAGGTGATAGCAGATCCTCTGAGCATCTCAAACTGTTCTAATAATTACTTTGTTGAGGTATTAGAAAATCTTTTAAACAGTACCCCAAATAATATTTAATCGAAAGACGATCAAAATATAAGTAGCTATCTGGATCAAAAAACTATCATAATTCCTTTCAAATGAAGGCTGGTGGATAAAGATGAGATAGAAAAAATAATTTTAAGTTTAAAAAACAAATCATCTGCTGGTCATGAGTACCCCTAGAACTATGTATTCAAATACATAGGAAAATCATTGTTAAAACCACACAGGTCATTAATAACTGATATTTTCTCTGGCTACTTAAACATTTCTAGAATTATACCCATTTGACCATTTACAAAACCCCTGCCGCAGCAAACCTGCAAACTAAGCGAATTTCTATTTACCTGGTTGGATTTTCAATTAAATATATAAATAACATGAGGTTTAACAAACCTGGGTATGCTGCTACAGGAAGGGAAATAAAGTGTGTTTTAGCAAAATAAGAATAGCATAGTAAAAAATAAATAAATTGGCCAAGTTTGATAAAAATATATCCATAAACAAGCAAACTAAAACAATTCTCCATAAGAATAACATGGGAATTTTAAATTTAAATTTTTTTTAATAAACTCTGTAGCCAATAACCTTAGAAAAACACTTCAATATACTAAATTATTTGTTTTTATGCTCTTTAAAACGGTTTAAATATAAATTTGGGAATTTTATGTTTTAAGGGTCAAAATTGAGAAAATCCAATTTTTACCCCATAAACCCCTCCCCCATAGACCCCAATCCCATGTGGTCCAATCATGCTGATTCGCAAACTCATTAAGTTTATTGCACCCTACACCTTATTATAGCAAATTTTATCAAAATAAAAAAAAATTATTCAAGTTATCACACTCACGGATATATATATAAAATATATATATATAAATTTTGAGCAAGTATATTGGTCCCGGGCCCAGGTCTTACCGTGCCACCTACAGTAATAGTTACTTCACTATTCGGAAATTCGCTAATGTATAATCAATTGGTTGATCATCATTATTATAACAAACTCTTTGACAAACAACAGGTCAAACTTAACTTGGTTTTCATAAGGGTAAATCTACTACTACTACTTTTTTAATTTTTCAGAAACTGTCGATGCTGTTGAAAAAGGAAATAACATAGTTGATATTTTTATAAATTTACTAAAAAGCTTCAGGTATTTTTAACACTTCTTTAAATTGGTTTAGATGATATCTTTCAGAAAGAGTGCAATATGTAGAAATAATGTCAAAAATCCCAAATCCGCCAACCAGGTCCATACTTGTTATAGATTTTGGATAAAGATATGTATCAGAAACTTTACTATTAAACATGGAGTTCCTCAAGGCTTCATTCTGGGGCCTTTACTGTTTCTATGTTATGTCCAAGGAATGACTTCAATTTTGTAAATTTAAAATTTCCATGTTATTCTTATGGAGAATATGTAAACTGTTGTAGTTAGCTTGTTTATGGATATATTTTAACGAAATTTAGAAATTCTATTTATTTCATACTAAGCTATCAACATTGCAATAAAAAAACACACCTCAAAATCACTTACTAAAAGTAATGTTATTTGAATAGGAAATAAATCTGACTATTTTTAGGGAATATTTTAGTGGAAATCCAGCCAGGTAAATGGAAATTCGCTTAGGTTTGATGCGGCAGGGATATTTAAATAAGAATACTCATAAGAATAGCATGGAAACTTAGAACCCCTGTGGGGCATAGTCCTATAGGATTTTCACAACCTTAATATGCCTATGTGTTTCTTAAGACAATCAAGTATCTCTCTGCAAAATGTTAGCTTAATCAGTCAGTAGTTTTCACATGATAGAACTTCAGAGTTATACACAAACATCCATACTATCACATTTATAATATTAGTAGGGTATTAGTAGGATTATATTACTATAAATTTATATTACAGGAAAAATAATCATTGTTGACAAAACTAGAAATTTATTTTACATAAAATGTATAATAAATGTGAACTATTTTCTTAAACCTATTAATAAAAAACAAAATTATAATCTTAGCAACTCTATTTTTCCTAAATCGATTATGTTGTTTGTTTTTGATATACAGTTATAGTTTAAAACATTAATTCCTTTTATGATATAATAACAGTGCAGTGTATTACAAAAACTATGTGTTAACAAAAAGCCTAGGTGCTCTATTAATAAGTACAAAAGAAAGATTCAACTTTAAAACGTTCAAAATATATGTTTTAAATTTAATTTTATCTCAGCATAATCTGATAAAAAAAATAACAATTTTAACATCTTGTCGAAAACCCATGTATTAATTTTGGTAAAAAATCTTTTTTGACAAACAGGTATTTTATATTGATTATCTGGTTGTTTTATGGGCTAGGAGCCTCATCTATACATCTATATACAATTTAAAAAACGTGACAAATTAACAATACCGTTTTTGTTATCTCGGAGGTCAACAAAACAAAAAGTTAATCTGACCCAGGTCTCACTGTTACCTTGCCATCTACCAACATTTATAGCTTGTTTCCTTAAAAGAGAAATTTGCTGAAACCTGTAGAATACAACTAAAGAAAAAACAGTTCAAGATAAAACACTGATATTTGTAAAAACATGTAATAACCTTGACCTAGCATTTCATCTTGAGTAATGGGTCCCAACAATGAAAAATAAGTCAGGCTTAAGTCAATTTTTTTTTTTAAGTACCTACAACTTGATAAAATTGTATCAACAAAACAAAATAAACTACTATTGTTAAGTATTTCATTGATCAAATGAAAAGAATCAAGAGTGTGGACGTGTGCCTTATAAGGTCTCTCTCCTCCATGAACTCCTGTGTGATGACCCCTCAAATAATCTTTTGTTGCAAAAGTGTTTTCACGTGTAGAGAACTTATAAGGTACCAACATTCAGATTATAAGAGATTAACATTCAGATTATAAGGTAATATTCAGATTCTTTTTCTCTTTTTCTCCTGTATGAACCCTTGTGTAATGAACCTTCAAAGCGCCTTTGGTTGTAAAAATCTTTTCACATATAGAACATTTATAATGTCTCTTCCCTCCAGTATGAACCCTTATGTGACGCCTCAAATCATCTTTTGTTGCAAAAGATTTTTCACATGAAGAGCACTTATATGGTCTCTCTCCAGTATGAACCCTTGTGTGATGATCCTTCAAAGTTAGTTTTGCTGCAAAAGATTTTTCACATGTAGAACACTTATAAGGTCTCTCTCCAGTATGAACCGTTATGTGACCCCTCAAATCATCTTTCGTCGCAAAAGATTTTTCACATGTAGAGCACTTATAAGGTCTCTCTCCAGTATGAATCCTTGTGTGATGTTCCTCCAAAGTTTGTTTTGCTGCAAAAGATTTTTCACATGTAGAACACTTATAAGGTCTCTCTCCAGTATGAACCCTTGAGTGATGTAACTTCAAAACGACTTTCGTCACAAAATATTTTTCACATGTAGAACACTTATAAGGCTTCTCTCCAGTATGACATCTTGTGAGATGACCCTTCAAAACGTCTTTCGTTGTAAAAATCTTTTCACATATAGAACATTTATAATGTCTCTTCCCTCCAGTATGAACCCTTATGTGACGCCTCAAATGATCTTTCGTCGCAAAAGATTTTTCACATGTAGAGCACTTATAAGGTCTCTCTCCAGTATGAACCCTTGAGTGATGTAACTTCAAATACTCTTTCGTCACAAAATATTTTTCACATGTAGAACACTTATAAGGCTTCTCTCCAGTATGACATCTTGTGAGATGACCCTTCAAAACGCCTTTCCTTGCAAAACTCTTTTCACATATAGAACACTTATAAGGTCTCATCTCTCCAGTATGAACCCTTTTGTGATACCTCAATGTGTGACCCGTCAATTCACTTTTTGTTGCAAAAGTTTTTTCACATAAAGAACAGTTAAAAGGTCTCTCTCTAGTATGAATCCTTATGTGGTGAACCCTCAAAATGTCTTTCCTTGCAAAAGATTTTTCACATGTAGAACACTTATAAGGTCTCACTTTAGTATGAACCATTGTGTGATGTTTCTTCAAAACGTTTTTTGTCACAAAATATTTTTCACATGTAGAACACTTAAAAGGTCTCTCTCCGGTATGAGCCCTTGTATGAATCTTCATTTCATCCTTGGTCAGAAAAGAATTTCCACAAATATTGCATTTATAAGGTCTCTCACCTGAATGTCTCTTTGTGTGTTGTTTCATATAACCTTTCAATTTAAAGGATTTTCCACATGTATTGCACTTAAAAGGTCTCTCTTCTCCAGTATGAATTAATGTATGACTCTTTAAATACATTTTGGCCGCAAAGGATTTTCCACATATAGAACACTTATAAGGTCTCTCTACTGAATGGACCAATGAGTGTATCTTCATATAGCTTTCAGATGTAAACGTTTTTCCACATGTATTGCACTTATAAGATCTTGCTCCTGAATGGACCAATGAGTGTCTCTTCATATGGCTTTTGGATGCAAAGGATTTTCCACATGTAGTACATTTGTAAGGACCCTTCCCAGAGTGATTTAACAAGTGTCTCTTTATTTGATGTATTTGGGCAAAGGTCATTTCGCATACCAAACATTTAAAGGGATGCTCGCCAGTATGTGATAATATATGAGCTTTTGACAATTGTTTTGAACAGATCTTACCGCAAAATAGACACTTGATAGTATGCATTTTAATGTGTTTTGGTACTTTTGTAATTTGGCCCTTTCTTGTTTATCAGTTAAGCTAGTAACTATTCGGAGGGCCAAACTAGTTAGAAAACCTTGTATGTCAATTGAAATATCTTCCTTGTTTGGATTTGCTAAATGTTTAGCGGTTATACATATAGCATTCTAGTTAAACTTTAAAATGTCTCTTGCTCATAAAACATTTATGCATATCAGAGATATTACAACATATTTGAGGGATTTTTCTGTCTTCTCTAGTATTTTAAGATACATAATAACATATAAATTATTAAATTAAATATGCTTTTCTTCATATTTTTTACAATTATTATAATTTAAATTCTAGTTGTACATTCTAGTTAATTACTTCATTTGTTCTTTGAAGTTTAGTATAAGTATTATTTTAAACTGTTGTTCAAACAATTATGTCAGAGATTAATTCTATTAGTTTCCTTGCTATAAACTGAATTTCTGTTTTCTTATACTTGGGCTCTTGGATTATCATTTCTGAAAAAGATAATGATTTATTAGTCACATTAATCCATCAATTTAACATAATTTTATTGTATGGAATTCCATAATAACTTTGACTACTTCTTTTATTAGCTAATAAGGTAGATTTCAGTTATGTGTCAGTCAATGAATTTTATGTGGATGGAACTTAATGTATTGATTAATGTCAATGTGATACTGATAATTGTATTGTATAAAACAAATTAAGAATGTATCCTAAACTATACAGCAAAAAATATTTATTGTAGGCTAACTGTAGCTGAATACTATCATAATCATACGTAACTCGTAATATTTGTTTAAACATTAAAAACTATCAAATCAAACTATTCAGTCAATTGTAACTATTGTCAAAACAATTATTTTCAACTGATTGTCAATTGGGTTTCCATATATATGTGTATAGATTGTTTAATAGTATTATTTTCCAATATAATTGATCTAGTTTTTTCCTAGAAAGAGAGTAAAAAAATGTGAATAAAAGTAAATTTAATGGGATAAACCAGGATTTATTAACATAACAAAAAGATATTGCAGAACTTACAAAATAAGCAAAAATGTCTGGTAATATAGAAATGATGTATCATTGTAAACTCTTAAATACAAATTATGAAAGTAGATTGATCAAGGCGACAAAATCTTTTTACAATCAACTCATAAATAAATCAGAAAATGTTAGTAAGAAACCGTGGGAGATAATTAATTTTGAAACTGGTAATAAATCTAAATGTATTAAGGATTCTCCTCCTGAAATTAGAATTAACGATTAGGTGATAGCAGATCCTCTGAGCATCTCAAACTGTTCCAACAATTACTTTGTTGAGGTAATAGAAAATTTTTTTAAACAGTACCCCAAATAATATTTAATCGAAAGACGATCAAAATATAAGTAGCTATCTGGATCAAAAAACTATCATAATTCCTTTCAAATGAAGGCCGGTAGATGAAGATGAGATAGAAAAAATAATTTTAAGTTTAAAAAACAAATCATCTGCTGGTCATGAGTACCCCTAGAACTATGTATTCAAATACATAGGAAAATCATTGTTAAAACCACACAGGTCATTAATAACTGATATTTTCCCTGGCTACTTAAAAATTTCTAGAATTATACCCATTTGACCATTTACAAAACCCCTGCCGCAGCAAACCTGCAAACTAAGCGAATTTCTATTTACCTGGTTGGATTTTCAATTAAATATATAAATAACATGAGGTTTAACAAACCTAGGTATGCTGCTACAGGAAGGGTAATAAAGTGTGTTTTAGCAAAATAAGAATAGCATAGTAAAAAATAAATAAATTGGCCAAGTTTGATAAAAATATATCCATAAACAAGCAAACTAAAACAATTCTCCATAAGAATAACATGGGAATTTTTAATTTAAATTTTTTTTAATAAACTCTGTAGCCAATAACCTTAGAAAAACACTTCAATATACTAAATTATTTGTTTTTATGCTCTTTAAAACGGTTTAAATATAAATTTGGGAATTTTATGTTTTAAGGGTCAAAATTGAGAAAACCCAATTTTTACCCCATAAAATCCCCCCCCCCCCCCATAGACCCCAATCCCATGTGATCCGATCATGCTGATTCGCAAACTCATTAAGTTTATTGCACCCTACACCTTATTATAGCAACATTTTATCAAAATAAAATAAAAATTATTCAAGTTATCACACTCACTGACATATATCAATTTTGAGCAAGTATATTGGTCCCGAGCCCAGGTCTTACCGTGCCACCTACAGTAATAGTTACTTCACTATTGGGAAATTCGCTAATGCATAATCAATTGGTTGATCATCTTTATTATAACAATCTCTTTGACAAACAACAGCATGGTTTTCATAAGGGTAAATCTACTACTACTACTTTTTTAATTTTTCAGAAACTGTCGATGCTGTTGAAAAAGGAAATAACATAGTTGATATTTTTATAAATTTACTAAAAAGCTTCAGGTATTTTTAACACTTCTTTAAATTGGTTTAGATGATATCTTTCAGAAAGAGTGCAATATGTAGAAATAATGTCAAAAATCCAAAATCCGCCAACCAGGTCCATACTTGTTATAGATTTTGGATAAAGATATATATCAGAAACTTTACTATTAAACATGGAGTTCCTCAAGGCTTCATTCTGGGGCCTTTACTGTTTCTATGTTATGTCCAAGGAATGCCTTCAATTTTGTAAATTTAAAATTTCCATGTTATTCTTATGGAGAATATGTAAACTGTTGTAGTTAGCTTGTTTATGGATATATTTTAACGAAATTTAGAAATTCTATTTATTTCATACTAAGCTATCAACATTGCAATAAAAAAACACACCTCCAAATCACTTACTAAAAGTAATGTTATTTGAATAGGAAATAAATCTGACTATTTTTAGGGAATATTTTAGTGGAAATCCAGCCAGGTAATTGGAAATTCGCTTAGGTTTGATGCGGCAGGGATATTTAAATAAGAATACTCATAAGAATAGCATGGAAACTTAGAACCCCTGTGGGGCATAGTCCTATAGGATTTTCACAACCTTAATATGCCTATGTGTTTCTTAAGACAATCAAGTATCTCTCTGCAAAATGTTAGCTTAATCAGTCAGTAGTTTTCACATGATAGAACTTCAGAGTTATACACAAACATCCATACTATCACATTTATAATATTAGTAGGGTATGTTTAGGATTATATTACTATAAATTTATATTACAGAAAAAATAATCATCGTAGACAAAACTAGAAATTTATTTTACATAAAATGTATAATAAATGTGAACTATTTTCTTAAACCTATTAATAAAAAACAAAATTATAATCTTAGCAACTCTATTTCCCCTTAATCGATTATGTTGTTTGTTTTTGATATACAGTTATAGTTTAAAACATTAATTCCTTTTATGATATAATAACAGTGCAGTGTATTACAAAAACTATGTGTTAACAAAAAGCCTAGGTGCTCTATTAATAAGTACAAAAGAAAGATTCAACTTTAAAACGTTCAAAATATATGTTTTAAATTTAATTTTATCTCAGCATAATCTGATAAAAAAGATAACAATTTTAACATATTGTCGAAAACCCATGTATTAATTTTGGTAAAAAATCTTTTTTGACAAACAGGTATTTTATATTGATTATCTGGTTGTTTTATGGGCTAGGAGCCTCATCTATACATCTATATACAATTAAAAAACGTGACAAATTAACAATACCGTTTTTGTTATCACGGAGGTCAACAAAACAAAAAGTTAATCTGACCCAGGTCTCACTGTTACCTTGCCATCTACCAACATTTATAGCTTGTTTCCTTAAAAGAGAAATTTGCTGAAACCTGTAGAATACAACTAAAGAAAAAACAGTTCAAGATAAAACACTGATATTTGTAAAAACATGTAATAACCTTGACCTAGCATTTCATCTTGAGTAATGGGTCCCAACAATGAAAAATAAGTCAGGCTCAAGTCATTTTTTTTAAGTACCTACAACTTAATAAAATTGTACAACAAAACAAAAAAACTACTATTGTTAAGTATTTCATTGATCAAATGAAAAGAATCAAGAGTGTGGACGTGTGCCTTATAAGGTCTCTCTCCTCCATGAACTCCTGTGTGATGACACCTCAAATAATCTTTTGTTGCAAAAGTGTTTTCACGTGTAGAGAACTTATAAGGTACCAACATTCAGATTATAAGAGATTAACATTCAGATTATAAGGTAATATTCAGATTCCTTTTCTCTTTTTCTCCTGTATGAACCCTTGTGTAATGAACCTTCAAAGCGCCTTTGGTTGTAAAAATCTTTTCACATATAGAACATTTATAATGTCTCTTCCCTCCAGTATGAACCCTTATGTGACGCCTCAAATCATCTTTTGTTGCAAAAGATTTTTCACATGAAGAGCACTTATAAGGTCTCTCTCCAGTATGAACCCTTGTGTGATGATCCTTCAAAGTTAGTTTTGCTGCAAAAGATTTTTCACATGTAGAACACTTATAAGGTCTCTCTCCAGTATGAACCGTTATGTGACCCCTCAAATCATCTTTCGTCGCAAAAGATTTTTCACATGTAGAGCACTTATAAGGTATCTCTCCAGTATGAATCCTTGTGTGATGTTCCTCCAAAGTTTGTTTTGCTGCAAAAGATTTTTCACATGTAGAACACTTATAAGGTCTCTCTCCAGTATGAACCCTTGAGTGATGTAACTTCAAAACGACTTTCGTCACAAAATATTTTTCACATGTAGAACACTTATAAGGCTTCTCTCCAGTATGACATCTTGTGAGATGACCCTTCAAAACGTCTTTCGTTGTAAAAATCTTTTCACATATAGAACATTTATAATGTCTCTTCCCTCCAGTATGAACCCTTATGTGACGCCTCAAATGATCTTTCGCCGCAAAAGATTTTTCACATGTAGAGCACTTATAAGGTCTCTCTCCAGTATGAACCCTTGAGTGATGTAACTTCAAATACTCTTTCGTCACAAAATATTTTTCACATGTAGAACACTTATAAGGCTTCTCTCCAGTATGACATCTTGTGAGATGACCCTTCAAAACGCCTTTCCTTGCAAAACTCTTTTCACATATAGAACACTTATAAGGTCTCATCTCTCCAGTATGAACCCTTTTGTGATACCTCAATGTGTGACCCGTCAATTCAATTTTTGTTGCAAAAGATTTTTCACATAAAGAACAGTTAAAAGGTCTCTCTCTAGTATGAATCCTTATGTGGTGAACCCTCAAAATGTCTTTCCTTGCAAAAGATTTTTTACATGTAGAACACTTATAAGGTCTCACTTTAGTATGAACCATTGTGTGATGTTTCTTCAAAACGTTTTTTGTCACAAAATATTTTTCACATGTAGAACACTTAAAAGGTCTCTCTCCGGTATGAGCCCTTGTATGAATCTTCATTTCATCCTTGGTCATAAAAGAATTTCCACAAATATTGCATTTATAAGGTCGCTCACCTGAATGTCTCTTTGTGTGTTGTTTCATATTACTTTTCAATTTAAAGGATTTTCCACATGCATTGCATTTAAAAGGTCTCTCTTCTCCAGTATGAATTAATGTATGACTCTTTAAATACATTTTGGCCGCAAAGGATTTTCCACATATAGAACACTTATAAGGTCTCTCTACTGAATGGACCAATGAGTGTATCTTCATATAGCTTTCAGATGTAAACGTTTTTCCACATGTATTGCACTTATAAGGTCTCGCTCCTGAATGGACCAATGAGTGTCTCTTCATATTGCCTATTGATGCAAAGGATTTTCCACATGTAGTACATTTGTAAGGACACTTCCCAGAGTGATTCAACAAGTGACTCTTTATTTGATGTATTTGGGCAAAGGTCTTTTCGCATGCCAAACATTTAAAGGGATGCTCGCCAGTATGGGATAATATATGAGCTTTTAACCATTTTTTTGAACAGATTTTTCCGCAAAATAGACACTTGAGAGTAAGCATTTTAGTATGTTTTATAACATCTAATTTGACCCTTTCTGGCTTATCAGATAATCTAGTAACTAATAAGAGGGCCCAACTAGTTAGAAAGCCTTGTATGTTAATTTACATATATTCCTTGTTTGGATTAGCTAAATGTTTAGCAGTTACATATACATAGCAATCTAATTACACAAATTGCCTCTTGCTCATATAATTGTTATGCATATTAGAGATTTTACAACATATTTGAGAGATTTTCTGTTTCCTCTAGTACTTTAAGATATATAATATCATATTACTTCTTAGATCAAATCAGTTTTTCTTCATATTTTTTACAATAATTATAATTTAGCCAAAATTCTTGTTTTACATTCTAGTTAATTACTGACTTAATTTGTTCTTTGAAGTTTATTGTTGTTCACACAATTATGACTGGGATTACCTCTATTAATTTCCTTGCCAAAAACTTGTTCTTATGCTTGGGCTCATGGATTGTCATTTCTGAAAAAGATCATACTTTATTAGATACATTCATTTATCTATTAATTTAAGTAAAATTATAGTTTTACATTGTTGATCTATTAAAGTAAAGAAAATTCCAGTGCCCCCCTCCTATAAAAACTCCTATATTGTAGTATGGCGGTCCTAGGACTTCATTTTGGGGGGGAAGTTGACCAACGGGGGGGGGGGTCTGGGAGGTATGGATTATCCCTCGAAATAAGTAGGGTCCTGGGTCCACCACAAAAATGTGGAATTTAAAGCCTAAAAACATATTTTGAAATTAATTTGAGCTTTAAAATATGTTCCAACTAATAGTATTTATGTTAGCTAGTAAAATATAAAATATTTCAGGGGGGAGGGGTGTGGTTATCCCCTCCAACCCCTCCCCCTGGGACTGCCACTGATTGTAGTCACTGCTGGATTTTTGATGGCCACAGCGTTTTGTACTGAAAATATTTTTTTAAAAGAAAAATTGTATATTTTCAAAAACTAACTATATTCCAAGATTACAGATGGCAATGATAATGTCCCCATGGTAGCAGGAGATTTTCACGATTTCATGGCGATAGCGGTGCCGCTGGGGTAAATTTGGACTGGGGCTTTAAGTACCCTAAGTACAACACTAGTAGTAAGGATTACCTATCTCAGTATACATGAAAAATATTTTTGGAATGTGCGAACTTCTGCTGAATACGTCCACATCTGCAGGGATGGACGAGTACATTTGAAATTACATTAAGCCTAGTTTAACAAGTAGTCACACATGTTTAACTTAAATTTTTGTAAGCAAAGCCACAATAGGGTAAGCTATAGTCCTCGCCACCCTAACTTGAGGCAGCCCAAGGCCGCACTAGATATACGGCGTGCAGCCTTGGGCTGCCTCAAGTTAGGATAGCGAGGACTATAATAGTACAGTATATATATTTTTGAAAGAAAAAACTGGATGTCATTCGGTACAAAAAGTTTTGAAGCTTTTACTAACAAAATGGTTTACAGGATCAAGGTATTTTCTCAACCCCAAAGTCATGAATCATGATACTGGTTTACACTACTGTAGGCACACATGTATCAGTTTCAAATTTTCAAATCACGCACCAGTATGGAATTTACAGACACTTTTTAATTAAAAACACAGGCCAAGATGTAAATCATTTTAAAGACTTTATCTAAGAGAGTTTAAGACCACAAACTTCACTGAAAAGATATGTTTAAAGGTTACAGGTTCAGTAAAACAATGTAAAAAAATATAAAAAAAGTTTTTCAGTACTCCATTAAATGTTAAGATTTGATATTTCAGGTTAAAAAACCTTAGGCTTGTGTTTGTTGTCACAATTACAAGCTATCATTTCTCTGAGACAGTAACAATACAAGTGTTGGAGTTAACTTAGGCCTAAAAAAGAGCAGGTTTATAGCATGGAACAGCTTTTAGATTCATATATAAACAATCGATAAGCGCTGAGAGTGCTTCATAGGCCTGAATATTAGTGTCTAAACAAGGATTTTAAGCTCTAAGAAAAATTTATCATTTTGTTTCACGCTCACCCACCCACACCATTGCCCCATCATCACCTCAACTCAAACTCTGCCAAATAATTAACACAACTATTTGTCCTAAGTGCACGTGCGCGTGCGTCAAGTTGGCAACCCTGGCTTCAGCCGCTCCCGCTCCCGCCGTGCATAAACAGTCCCATTTGACTCAATGTAGTTGAAAACCGCTCTATCCCAAGAAACCGCTGCGATTTCTAACTACACAGCGGGCGAATTAGAAACCGCAGCGGGAGGTCAACCGCTATCGCTATCGCTCTTGGTGCATAAAAAGCCCCATTTAACTCAATGGTGTTAGAAATCGCTCCCGCTGTCGCTACCGCTCCCGCTGTCGCTACCGCTCCCGCTCTTGGTGCATAAACGGGGCCTTATGGATATAGTTTAACGAAATTTAGAAATTCTGTTTATTTCATACGAAGCTATCAACAATGCAATAAAAAAAACATACCTCAAAATCTTCCCTGTAGTAGCAAACCTAAGTACTTACTACAATTAATATTATCTGAAAAGGAAATAAATCTGATAATTTTTACAAAAATATTTTTGTGGAAATCAAGCCAGGTAAATGGAAATTTGCTTAGGTTAGCTGCGGCGGGGGTATTTAAATATGAATCCTCATAAGAATAACATGAAAACTTAGAAACCCTGTGGGGTATAGCCCTATAGGATTTTCACAACCTTAATATGCCTATGTGTTTATAAAGACTATCAAGTATCTCTCTGCAAAATGTCAGGTCAATCAGTCAGTAGTTTTCACATCATAGAACTTCAGAGTTATACACAAACATCCATACTTTCACATTTATAATATTACAGTAGTAGGGTATTAGTAGGATAATATTACTATGCGTTTATATTACAGGAAAAATTATTATCGTAGACAAAAGTATAAATTTATTTTATAAACAGAGTATAAAATGTATAATAAATGTGAACTACTTTCTTAACTCTATTAATAAAAGACAAAATTAGAATCTTAGCAAATCTATTTTCCCTTAATCGATTACGTGAATGGTGTTTGATATACAGTTATACTTTTAAAAGATTAATTCGTTATATGATATGATACAATGCAGTGTTTTACAAAAACTATTTGTTAACAATAAGCCTAAGTGCTCTATTAATAAGTACAAAAGAAAACATTCAACTTCTATTATTTTATCTTCAAAACAAATTTAACCGGGTTTCAGATTTCCCGACTAATGTTGACTATGAGTATTTACCAATACTAAGGCCTCTGCAGGTATATTCCGCAAGAACTTTGGACTGCCGCCATTTTGTAACGGATGAACCTTTTTTGACGCGGTTTCCGGCAATGATCTCCATTTGACCAGACTTTTAAAATGATGTGCATATCAAATCAACCTATGCTTACATTAAAGATTATGTACCTACTCCTCGGGCCGTCCCCTGGTGAAGGTCAAAAAATGGTAATGCTTGCAAAAAGTAGTTTTCATACATATAAGTATGAATTTTTATTTATGTGAAAGGTTTGAATTTTCTAACGAATTAAGTTAAAAAGATATCAGGCCGTTTCCAGACTTTTATGTCACCCTGTATAAGTACTCATAAGGCTAACATGGTGATACTCCAGAGCCACTGGTGCAGAGCCGATTGGACGGATCAAGAAATTGATGGTGTACAACCTATTTCATGAAATTCTACATGTATGTACCAAGTTTTGCGTCAATCGGTCTAATGGTGTCCGAGCTCATAATGTTCAAATATATAATAATAATATCTATGGTTCTTACCGTCAACGCAATCAGGGGACGCAATCTGCCACACTCAAGAATATGTTCAAATATATATAGGTACTAGCTGTAACCCGCGGGCTTTGCCCCGTTTAACTTCTTAATTTTCAAGATTATCTCGTTCGCATGGCTCAATCACGTCCTGGTTGAAGTTTGTTCGCTACGCTCACTCACCTTTAGGTTGGAGCTTGTTCGCTACGCTCACTCACCTTTAGGTTGGAGCTCGTTCGCTACGCTCACTCACCTTTAGGTTGGAGCTCGTTCGCTGCGCTCACTTGCCTTCAGGTTAGCTCGTTCGCTACGCTAACTCGCCTCCAGGTTGAAGTTCGTTCGCTACGCTCACTCACCTTTTGGTTGCAAATTAGCTGTTGTCATAAATGTAAAAGAAATAATAGTGCTGCACCCTGTTGGTAATTTTTGTAACTTTAATGCTATTGAACATCACAGAACAGAACCAACTTGTTTAATTGAAACAGCTGTTAAGATTCAATAATTTCATTTCTCATAAGGTTAACATGGGAAACTCCAGAGCCACTGGGGCGGAGCCCGAAAGGATTTTTGAAATAAGAATATGCCTATATGTTAATCGGGAATGTGAGCTATCATCATGCCAAATTTCAGCCCAATCCGACCAGTATTTTTCGCGTTCACTTGTCACAAACATACATCCATACATCCATACATCCATCCATCCAAACTTTCTCATTTATAATATTAGTAGGATATACAAACTTCCTCTTTTATAAATATAGATACATGACAATTTAACAATACCGTTTTTGTTATCTCTGGGGTCGACAAAAGAAAAAGTCAATCTGACCCAGGTCTCACTGTTACCTTGCGTTTTACAACATTTATAGCTTCTTTCCTTAAAATACAACTAAAGAAAAAAAACAGCTAGCTTACCTTGAATGAAGGTAGGCCATAGAACAACTAGAAGATACACTGTGCGCAAAATGTCTTGTCCACTGAGGGACTTTGTGAAAATTTACTCTCTTTATACTTGACAAAGTCCCTCAGGGGGTGAAATATTGTGTACAGTGTATCTTCTAAATGTTCTATGGCCTACCTACACTTACAAGGTAAGGTAGCTGCTATCCTCCTTTCTCTCAATTCAAAATCCTGGACCAGAGCCTTTGAGCAAAACTTAAGAAATAAACAGTTCAAGATAAAACACTGCTATTTGTAAACGGTTGACCTTGACCTAGCATTCCATCTTAAGTAATGGCTCCCAACAATGAACAATAAGTCAGCCAAAAATCTAAATATTGTTTAAGTGCACCCAAAAATTAACAACATTTTATCAACTTAACAAATAAATTACAGTTTTGTAAGTATTTCATTGCATCTAATGAAAAGAATCAAGAGTGTGGACGTGTGCCTTATAAGGTCGCTCTCCAGCATGAACCCTTGTGTGATGACCCCTCAAATAATCTTTTGTTGAAAAATATATTTAAACGTGTAGAGCACTTATAAGGTAACTCTCATATTCAGATCCTTATCATTATTCTCTCCAATACAAACCCTTGTATAAAACCTTTCAATGTCTTTGATTGCAAAGATTTTTTCATTTTTTTCAACTTTTTGTCTTATAAGGTATCTCTGATATTCAGATTCTATTTCTTATTCTCTCCACTATGAACCCTTGTGTGATGAACCTTCAAAACGTCTTTGGTTGCAAAAGTTTTTTCACTTATAGAACACTTATGGGGTCTCTTATCTTCACTATGAACTTTTTTGATGTGAGCCCTCAAATCACCTTTCAACGTAAAAGATTTTTCACATGTAGAGCACTTATAAGGTCTCTCTCCAGTATGAACCCTTGAGTGATGAACCTTCCAATTATATTTCCTCACAAAAGATTGTTCACATGTAGAACACTTATAAGGTCTCTCTTTAGTATGCACACTTGTGAGATGATACTTCAAAACGCCTTTTGACGCAAAAGATTTTTCACATGTAGAGCACTTATAAGGTCTCTCTCCAGTATGAACCCTTGAGTGATGAACCTTCAAAACGACTTTTGTCATAAAAGATTTTTCACATGTAGAGCACTTATAAGGTCTCTCTTTAGTATGAACACTTGTGAGATGATACTTCAAAACGCCTTTTGACGCAAAAGATTTTTCACATGTAGAGCACTTATAAGGTCTCTCTCCAGTATGCGTTCTTGTATGCTTCTTCATTTCCCCTTTGGTCACAAAAGAATTTCCACAAGTATTACATTCATAAGGTCTCTCACCTGAATGTCTTTTTGTGTGTCTGTTCATACAACTTTTCCATAAAAAGGATTTTCCACATGTTTTGCACTTAAAAGGTCTCTCTACAGTATGAATTAATGTATGTACCTTTAAATATCTTTTGGCCGCAAAGGTTTTGTCACATATAGAACACTTAAAAGGTCTCTCTCCAGTATGAATCCTTGTATTTATCTTAACGTTGACTTTTGGTGCAAAGGATTTTCCACGTGTAGTAAATTTGTCACACTTCTCAGAGTGTTTAGACAAATGTCTCCCTACGTTGTAAAGTTTGGTAAATGTTTTTTCACATATTAAACATTTAAAGGGACGCTCGCCCGTATGTTTTAATATATGAGCTTTTACACTTTTTTTTATCAGAATTTTTTTGCAAAATAGACATTTGAGAGTAAGCATTTTAGTATGTTTTATAACATCTAATTTAACCCTCTCTGGCTTATCAGATAATCTAGTAACTAATAAGAGGGCTCAACTAGTTAGAAAACCTTGTATGTTAATTTAAATATATTCCTTGTTTGGATTAGCTAAATGTTTAGCAGTTACATATACATAGCATTCTAATTACACTTTAAATTGCCTCTTACTCATATTATGCATATTAGAGATTTTACAACATATTTGAGATTTTCTGTTTTCTCTAGGCTAGTATTTTAAGATACGTAATATCATGTTAACTCTTAAATCAAAACAGTTTTTCTTCATATTTTTTACAATAATTATAATTTAGCCTAAATTCTAGTTTTACATTCTAGTTAATTACTGACTTCATTTGTTCTTTGAAGTTTCTTCTTGTTCAAACAATTATGTCGGAGATTACCTCTATTAATTTCCTTGCCACAAACTTTTTCTTATGCTTGGGCTCATGGATTGTCATTTCTGAAAAAGATCATACTTTATTAGATACATTCATTTATCTATTAATTTAAGTAAAATTGTAGTTTTACATTGTTGATCTATTGAAAGTACAGAAAACAAAATTCCAATGCCCCCCTCCTATAAAAACTCCTATATTGTTATTGTAGTACATGGCGGTCCTAGGACTTCATTTCAGGGGGGGGGGAAGTTGACCAACAGGGGGTCTGGGAGGTACGGATTATCCCTTAAAAAAGTGGGGTCCTGGGTCCGCCACAAAAATGTGGAATTTTAAGCCTAAAAACGTATTTTTAAATGTATTTGAGCTTTAAAACATGTTCCAACTAATAGTATTTATGTTAGCTAACAAAATATAAAATATTTGGGGGGGGGGTGGTTATCCCCTCCAACCCCTCCGCCTGGGACTGCCACTGATTGTAGTCACTGCTGGATTTTTGATGGCCGCAGCATTTTGTACTAAAAAAACTTTTTTGAACAAAAATTGAGCTTATTTCTAAAACTAATTATTTTCCACGATTGCGGATAGCAATGAAAATGTCCCCATGATTGCAGAAGATTTTCACGATTTCATGGCGATTGCAGTGCCGCTTGGGTAATTTTGGCCTAGGGCTTCTAGTACCCTAAGTATAACACTAGTGACAGTAAGGATTACCTATCTCAGTATTCATGAAAAATATGTTTGAAATGTGCGAACTTCTGCTGAATACGTCCACATCTGCAGGGATGGACGAGTAGATTTGTCATTATATTAGTTTAACAAGTGCTCACACATGTTTAACTTAAATTTTTGTGAGCAAAGCCACAATGGGCTAAGCTAATAGTATATATATTTTTGAAAGAAAATACTGGCTGTCATACAGTACAAAATACCACCGCCACAGTAAACCTGCAGACTAAGCGAATTTCCATTTGCCTGATTGGATTTACACTAAATTGTCTCCTTTAAAATATTACATTTATTCCCTATTTAAATGGCATTAGTTTAACGAGTACTTAGGTTTGCTGTAACAGGGAGGGTAAAAAGGAGTTTTTTTGTAAAATGTTAAAAGTTTAGTATTAAATGAATGCATTTTCCTAATATGATCATAAACAAGCAAACTACAACAGTTTATTCTCCATAAGAATAACATGGGAATTTTAAATTTACAGTTTTTTGGAATTTTCTCTGTAACCAATAGGCGCATAATAACGCTCCAATATACTAAATTATTTGTTTTTTTAAGCTCTACAAAATGGTGTGGAATGAAAATGCTAAATTTTAAGTTTTTAGGGTCAAAAATAGGAAAAACCAATTTTTGCCCTATAAACCCCTGTTCCCATAGACCGATCATGCTGGTTTGCGAACTCGTTCGAATAAACGTAGGTTTACACGTTTGTACCAAATTTCATCAAAATCGGATGATTTTTGCTCGAGTTATCGCGCTTACGGATATTATAAATATATATATATGAATTTGAACGGATGGCGTTTTTGGTCTCTAGGGACCTCAAAACAAAAAAGAAATTGATCCCGGGTCCAGGTCTTACTATGAGTACTACGGTAATAGCTTATTCCTAAAGGAGAAACTAGCTAAAAGTTTTGAAGCTTTTACTACGGTAACAAAATCGTTTACAGGTTTAAGGTATTTTCTCAACACCTAGGTTATGATATTGGTTTACACTACTGTAGACACACATGTATCAGTTAAATTTTCAAATCACGTACCAGTATGGGATGTACAAACATTTTTAAATAAAAACACAGGACAAGATGTAAATCATTTAAAAGACCACAAACTTCACTGAAAAGATATGTTCGGTTACAGGTACAGTAAAACAATGTAAATAATATAAAAAGGGGTTTTCAATATTCCATTAAATGTGAAGATTTGATATTTTAGGTTAAAGAACCTTAGGAAAACTCACAGATACAGGCTATCATATCTCTGAGACAGTAACAGTACAAGTGTTGGAGTTAACTTAGGCCTAAAAAGAGCAGGTTTATAGCATGGAACAGCTTTTAGATTCATATATAAACAATCGATAAGCGCTGAGAGTGCTTCAAAGGCCTGAATATTAGTGTCTAAACAAGGATTTTAAGCTCTAAGAAAAATTTATCATTTTGTTTCACGCTCACCCACCCACACCATTGCCCACCATCACCTCTCAATTCGCACAATCACCCATCCAGATCTCTACCCTTTAATCACTTACTTTTCTTCTATAATATGTATATGTATATTTATTTATTTTATCACATTCTTAGCCCTCGCATTTTATGACTTGACCGATTAGATGTCTGCAGAGCACTCTATTGTATTCTTATGGAAATGCATTAAATGTATCACTAACATTTTTTTTTTAATAAGGATTTTATTAAAACTGGTAGACTAGTTTTAAGATACCTTTCACGGTTCTCTTTAAATTTACTCTTATACTAGATTGTTTCATCATCTTCATAATAACAATCTCTTTGACAAACAACGGCATGGTTTTCATAAGGGTAAATCTATTACTACTACTCTTTTTAATTTTTCAGAAATTATTGTTGATGCTGTTGACAAAGGAAATAACGTAGTTGGTATTTTTATGGATTTATTAAAAGCATTCGATAAAATCTCTCATGAAGTTCTTTTACATACATTTAAAGCTGTAGATATTTTTAACACTTCTTTAAATTGGTTTAGGTCATATCTTTCAGAAAGAGTGCAATATGTAGAAATAATGTCAAAAAACCAAAATACGCTAACCAGGTATAGATCAGAAACTTTAACTACCGGTATTACACATAGAGTTCCTCAAGGCTCCATTCTGGGGCCTTTACTATTTCCATGTTATGTCCAAGGAATGCCTTCAATTTTGTAAATTTAAAATTCCCATGTTATTCTTATGGAGAATAAATAAACTGTTGTAGTTAGCTTGTTTAGGCCCCGTTTATGCACCTATGAATGGGGCTGTTTATGCACGAAGAGCGATAGCGGTAGCGGTTGGTTAAAGGAGAATGGAAGGGGGACACAGTCTTGCCAACTCAAACTCTGCCAAATAATTAACACAACTATTTGTCCTAAGTGCACGTGCGCGTGCGTCAAGTTGGCAACCCTGGCTTCAGCCGCTCCCGCTCCCACCATGCATAAACAGCCCCATTTAACCCAATGGTGTTAGAAATCGCTACCGCTCCCGCTCTTGGTGCATAAACGGGGCCTTATGGATATATTTTAACGAAATTTAGAAATTCTGTTTATTTCATACGAAGCTATCAACATTACAATAAAAAAAACATACCTCAAAATCTTCCCTGTAGTAGCAAACCTAAGTACTTACTACAATTAATATTATCTGAAAAGGAAATAAATCTGATAATTTTTATTAAATATTTTTGTGGAAATCCAGCCAGGTAAATGGAAATTTGCTTAGGTTAGCTGCGGCGGGGGTATTTAAATATGAATCCTCATAAGAATAACATGAAAACTTAGAAACCCTGTGGGGTATAATAGCCCTATAGGATTTTCACAACCTTAATATGCCTATGTGTTTATAAAGACTATCAAGTATCTCTCTGCAAAATGTCAGGTCAATCAGTCAGTAGTTCTCAAATCATAGAACTTCAGAGTTATACACAAACATCCATACTTTCACATTTATAATATTAGTAGGGTATTAGTAGGATAATATTACTATGTGTTTATATTACAGGAAAAATTATTATCGTAGACAAAAGTATAAATTTATTTTATAAACAGAGTATAAAATGTATAATAAATGTGAACTACTTTCTTAACTCTATTAATAAAAGACAAAATTAGAATCTTAGCAAATCTATTTTCCCTTAATCGATTACGTGATTGGTGTTTGATATACAGTTATACTTTTAAAAGATTAATTCGTTATATGATATGATACAATGCAGTGTTTTACAAAAACTATTTGTTAACAATAAGCCTAAGTGCTCTATTAATAAGTACAAAAGAAAAAATTCAACTTCAAAACGTTTAAAATTTTTTTTTTATTTAAATTTTGTCTCAGCATAGTCTGATAAAAAGATAACAATTTTAGCGTATTATTGAAAACCCGTGGTGTAAATTTTGATACAACTTTTTTAACAAACAGATATTTTATATTGAATATCTGGATGTTTTTTTGGCTAGAAACCTCATCCTATACATTTATATACAGTACTAGCCGCTATACCCGTGCCTTGCAACGGGGTCAAAATGCGGAAGAAGAGACAGTTTTGGTTCCTTGAAAATAATGGCAAGCAGCTTGAGAATGCAAAATAGAACAATTATTATGTTCCCTATATCTGCTGTATGTAGATAGACTTTTATTAATTTACTATTAGTATTAACTGGCTAGATAAATACTAATAATATATACAGGATGACAAAAAAGTCTTTAAACGCCTTAATATATTTTTAACTAAATCCATTAGAAAATTCAAACCTTTCACATCAACTTACATGTATGAAAACTACTTTTTCCAATCATTATAATTTTTTACCTCTACCAGGGGACGATCCGTTAGGAGTACGTACATAATCTTTAATGTAAGCATAGGTTGATATGCACATCATTTTAAAGGTCTAGCCAAGTGGAGTTCATTGCCGGAAACCGCGTCTCAAAAGGTTTAACCGTTACAAATTGGCGGCTATCCAAATTTCTTGTGGAATATACCTGCACAGGCCTTAGTATTGGTATATACTCGTATTAAACATTAGCTTGAGAGCTGAAATTGTATTTTAAAGTCAACTAGTTCATAGACTAAAATTATTTAATCTTCAAAACAAATTTAACCGGGTTTCAGATTTCCCGACTAATGTTGACTATGAGTATTTACCAATACTAAGGCCTCTGCAGGTATATTCCGCGAGAACTTTGGACTGCCGCCATTTTGTAACGGATGAACCTTTTTTGACGCGGTTCCCGGCAATGAACTCCATTTGACCAGACTTTTAAAATGATGTGCATGTCAACTTATGCTTACATTAAAGATTATGTACCTACTCCTCGGGCCGTCCCCTGGTGAAGGTCAAAAAATGGTAATGCTTGCAAAAAGTAGTTTTCATACATACATGTTGATGTGAAAGGTTTGAATTTTCTAACGAATTAAGTTAAAAAGATATCAAGCCGTTTCCAGACTTTTATGTCACCCTGTATAAGTACTCATAAGGCTAACATGGGGATACTCCAGAGCCACTGGTGCGGAGCCGATTGGACGGATCAAGAAATTGATGGTGTACAACCTATTCCATAAAATTCTACATGTATGTACCAAGTTTTGTGTCAATCGGTCTAATGGTGTCCGAGCTCATAATGTTCAAATATATAATAATAATATCTATGGTTCTTACCGTCAACGCAATCAAGGGATCCCCTGATTGCGTTGACGGTAAGAACCATAGATATTATTATTATATTTTCACGCAATCTGCCACACTCAAGAATATGTTCAAATATTTATAGGTATATAAAAACGTCCCCTTTTATAAATATAGATACATGACAATTTAACAATACCGTTTTTGTTATCTCTGGGGTCGACAAAAGAAAAAGTCAATCCGACCCAGGTCTCACTGTTACCTTGCGATCTACCAACATTTATAGCTTCTTTCCTTAAAAGGGAAATTTGCTAAAACCTGTAGAATACAACTAAAGAAAAAAACAGCTAGCTTACCTTGAATGTAGGTAGGCCATAGAACAACTAGAAGATACACTGTGCGCAAAATGTCTTGTCCACTGAGGGACTTTGTGAGGTATAAAGAGAGTAAATTCTACCACTTTCTCTACACTTGAAAAAGTCCCTCAGGGGGCGAAATATTGTGTGTACAGTGTATCTTTTAAATGTTCTATGGCCTACCTACACTTTCAAGGTAAGGTAGCTGCTATCCTCCTTTCTCTCAATTCAAAATCCTGGACCAGAGCCTTTGAACAAAACTTAAGAAATAAACAGTTCAAGATACAACACTGCTATTTGTAAACGGTTGACCTCGGTTGACCTTGACCTAGCATTCCATCTTAAGTAATGGCTCCCAACAATGAACAATAAGCAATGAATACACAAACTATAAAGAAGAACAGGTCCTATGGACAATATTCTAACAGTATTTTCAAATTTGGCGCGCGAAATATCTGTAGTTCTGCACTGAACCACCACTCAGCGCTGTAGTCAAGTTTAGCACGCGGTGAAGTGCGAGAGAGAGCGACATACACCGTTTTCGTCACCTGTGGGCCAGGCCACGAGAGAAAGAGAGAGGGGGCGAAAACAGTGTATGTCGCTCTCTCTCGCACTTCACCGCGTGCTAAACTTGACTACAGCGCTGAGTGGTGGTTCAGTGCAGAACTACAGATATTTCGCGCGCCAAATTTGAAAATACTGTTAGAATATTCTATATACTGTTGTCCATTATACTGTTAATATACTGTATACTGTACTGTTATTATACTGTTATACTGTTGAATATTACACTGTTGTCCATAGGACCTGTTCTTCTTTATAGTTTGTGTATTCATTGCAATAAGTCAGCCAAAAATCTAAATATTGTTTAAATGCACCCAAAAATTAACAACATTTTATCAACTTAACAAATAAATTACAGTTTTGTAAGTATTTCATTGCATCTAATGAAAAGAATCAAGAGTGTGGACGTGTGCCTTATAAAGTCGCTCTACAGCATGAACCCTTGTGTGATGACCCCTCAAATAATCTTTCGTTGAAAAATATATTTAAACATGTAGAGCACTTATAAGGTAACTCTCATATTCAGATCCTTATCATTACTCTCTCCAGTATAAACCCTTGTATAAAACCTTTAAATGTCTTTGATTGCAAAGATTTTTTCATTTTTTTCAACTTTTTGTCTTATAAGGTATCTCTGATATTCAGATTCTATTTCTTACTCTCTCCACTATGAACCCTTGTGTGATGAACCTTCGAAGCGTCTTTGGTTGCAAAAATCTTTTCACATATAGAACACTTATAAGGTCTCTTCTCTCCAGTATGAACCCCTATGTGAGACCTCAAATCAGCTTTTGACGCAAAAGACTTTTTACATGTAGAGCACTTATAAGGTCTCTCTTTAGTATGAATCCTTGCGTGATGAGACTTCAAATTCCCCTTTGTCACAAAAGATTTTTCACATGTAGAACACTTATAAGGTCTCTCTTTGGTATGAACTCTTGTGTGATGACTCTTCATTTCTACTTTGGTCACAAAAGAATTTCCACAAGTATTGCATTTATAAGGTCTCTCACCTGAATGTCTCTTTGTGTGTTGTTTAATATCATTTTTGAATATAAAGGATTTTCCACATGTATTGCACTTAAAAGGTCTCTCTCTTCCAGTATGAATTAATGTATGATTCTTTAAATACACTTTGGCCGCAAAGGATTTTTCACATATAAGCTCTCTCTCCAATATGAATCCTTGTATCTATCTTAACATTGACTTTTGGTGCAAAGGATTTTCCACGTGTAGTAAATTTGTAAGGAAACTTCTCAGAGTGTTTAGGCAAATGTCTCTCTACGTTGTAAAGTTTGATAAATGTTTTTTCACATATTAAACATTTAAAGGGACGCTCGTCCGTATGTAATAGTATATGAGCTTTAAAACTTTTTTTTAACAGAATTTTTTTGCAAAATAGACACTTGAAAGTAAGCATTTTAGTATGTTTTATAACATCTAATTTAACCCTCTCTCAGATAATCTAGTAACTAATAAGAGGGCCCAACTAGTTAGAAAGCCTTGTATGTTAATTTAAATATATTCCTTGTTTGTATTAGCTAAATGTTTAGCAGTTACATAGCATTCTAATTACACTTTAAATTGCCTCTTGATCATATAATTGTTATGCATAGAGATTTTACAACATACCGGTATTTGAGATTTTCTCTAGTATTTTAAGATACATAATATCATGTTAACTCTTAAATCAAAACAGTTTTTCTTCATATTTTTTACAATAATTGTAATTTAGCCTAAATTCTAGTTTTACATTCTAGTTAATTACTGACTTAATTTGTTCTTTGAAGTTTCTTCTTGTTCAAACAATCATGTCGGAGATTACCTCTATTAATTTCCTTGCAGCAAACTTGTTCTTATGGATCGCTCATGGATTGTCATTTCTGAAAAATATCATACTTTATTAGATACATTCATTTATCTATTAATTTAAGTAAAATTATAGTTTTACATTGTTGAATAATAAATGTGGGTGGTACTAAAAATGTTATTTGACGTAGGCCTAGGCCTAATCTTGAAACTATTATTTCAGGACAGGTTCTAAACAGTTTTCTATTGAAAGCAAAGAAAATTCCAGTGACTTAGGTAGGTAAAATAGACCTACAGTTTTGTCTGTTAATTGTAAAGAATTAAGAAACAGAACTTAAAAGCTATGTAACTATAGGTCTGAATTTTGTCCCCACAGTCACTTGACTGATCAAATTTAACTGTCTAACGACAAGATTCGACCTGGTGATGTATACATACGTAGGTAGTAGAAGCTAGACCAAACTTACCAGTGGACCAGAACATTAACTGCCCAGCTCATATCCACGAGCCTCATAAGTTTTACATAGGCATAATATAGAGTCACATGTTTACGTCCCCTGTAATTTTATTGCTGCTTCCAAAAAGATTAATTGCAGTTTAGTAATAGTACCAGGAGGACCGAGCGTTGCTCAGTGAGATCGGGTCTAGTTAGCCGCCGGTTTACCATTACACACTAAGTTAAAACTCCAGTTGTAACCGTAAGGATAGAATCCCACTGTCTTTGAGGCATAAATTAAAAACCTGCAAGCATATTTGAAGTCGTCTTTTCGTTTAATCAACTAATCCAAAAGATAAAAAATACCCTCGCCGAAGCAAACCTGCAGACTAGGCGAATTTCCATTTACCTGGCTGGATTTCTACAAAACTATTCCCTAAAAATTGTCAGATTTATTTACTGTTTAATTAAAGATTAGTTGTAGTAAGTAGACCTACTTAGGTTTGCTGCTACAGGGAAGTATTGAGATGTTTTTTTTTATTGCAATTTTGAGAGCTTAGTAGCGTAAACAAATTTTCCAAATTTGGTTTAAATATATATAAACAAGCAAACAGTTTATTTATTCTCTGAAAAAATAACATTGGAATTTTAAATTTACAATTTTCTTAATTATCTCCGTAACTGTTGGGCATACAACAATGCTTCATTACCTATACGAAATTATTCCTTTTTTTAAGCTCTACAAAATGGTTTGGAGAGAAATTATGAAATGTTGTGTTTTTGGGGTCAAAAATGGGAAAAATCAATTTTTACCACATAAATCCCCCATAAACCCCCTGTTCCCAAGTCTGATTATGCTGGTTCGCTAAACAGTTCGAATAAATATAGGTTTACACGTTTTTGCCAAATTTCATCAAAATTTGATAATTTTTGCTCAAGTTATCGCGATAACGGATATACTTATATACGGTATATATACGGAAATACCTATATATATCTGAACAGATGGTGTTTTTGGCCTCTGGAGACCTTCAAATGAAAAAGTAAATCGGTCCCGGGTCTAATCTTACCATGAGACCTGCCCCCTAATAGCTTATTCCCTAGGCCCTATAGGGGGAATTCGCTAAAACAACTTGGGCGTAACATAAATAAACAACCCGATCGCCTATAACCTACACTTTACATTCTTAATCTAATCTAACTTCAAAAAACTTAAAGCAGCAACAAACCTGCATTTAAACCCCAACCGACCTTCCCCACATGCCTAAATTAGATCATTCATATAGGCTATTCATTGTTTCACTTTTCACCGAAGTGGATCCATATCACTTCACGGGTACAGTTTCTTAACTGGGCTATGCTAACATCGATTGAAACTATCAATTCGATTAGTAAACCTTCATGCGATTTTTTCACCATCAGCAAAGTTGGTTGGTTAGGTTAGGTTATGATAGTTTAATTGTATAATAGATAAGTTATAATTTAAAAATATTGATTATTAATCAATAATTCCAATTCGATAGTTTCAATCGATATTAGCATAGCCCAGTTAAGGAACTGTACCTGTACCCCACTTCACTTCGTGTTCGATGTGCTCTGCACCTTAAAATGATGTGTCTGGTAGTGAAAAAATTATCGAAAGGACTTGCGATACTGTTGTGAACACTTTGGTTAACACATTGCCTTGCTGTGTTAACATTAAGTACAAGAATAACTGTCCATCTAAAAAAGAAGTCACGAAACATGACCATGATAAGTTACCTAGTCATTACATAGAGGATACACGTCCGGTAACCGGACGTGGATAAGGCATACGGCAATGACGTCATGGGGTTGCGGGAGCCTGGAACGCCTTTTCCACAACAATACAATGATCAGCTATTGGTGGTCGTTGTGTAGTGGATAAGGTGCTCGGCTGATATGCAAGAGGTCCAGAGTTCGAATAGGTACCATTGGTGACTTTAACTTTTTGTCGATGATTTTGCATTGAATACCATTTATTCTTAACTGTACATCTTTTATTAAAATTTTCGCATTTATAATTTTTTTTTTTTTAGAAAGAATTTAACCTTAATTCGATTTTTTCATCAGCAAGTTTAGTTGGTTAGGTTAGGTTATGACAGTAATTGCCGGACGTCTGATCCACGTCTGGTTACCTGTATCCTCTGCCTAGTCATTAAACTTATGGGCAAAGGCAATAACAAAACTATTGAATTTTATATAGGCTAAATATAAAATTATAATAAACCTTGTTATAAGTTTGGTACCTACCCATTTATTTCACTCAGTGCTAATAATTTCTTAAATTTTAAAGTCAGTTTGATGTTATTTATTTCTTCCATAAATCATACACTTTCAGGGCCTATTGGCTTAGGCAACATGGGCAACATCATATAAATCAATCTCCGCCAGGAAGGAATCATAGATAAATCAAATGCTACGGATAACAGCTATGTTTAATTTTAAGCTTAGAGTAATAACTATTAACTAATAAATTAAGTTTGTTGTTTGTTTGTTGAGTTCTAGAATGTGAATGAATGGCGTGGTTTTAGTCAATTCTTTAGAATTTAGGTTATGTTATATGCGTGAAGAAGAAGAAATCTTTGCCGACAGGCGACAGGGATAGTGCTGGGCTGGCCGCTGGGTTCACAACAGAGAACAGTCAACAGACTACCGTATCATTCGGCTGTGTTTCGATTGCCGGCAGGTTTCAGTGGGATAGCGCTGGGTTCACAACGATATGGTAGCACTGGTTAAGTATCGATCGTCGTAGCATGAAAAGAACTACTATCGAATATCGTAAATCGATTGGCTTCCATAGCGCCAACCAACCAACCAACCAACCAAAACAAGAAACAAACAAGTTTAGCTCCTATAACCATAACTCATGTTTCCAATTTAAAATTTATTTATATAAATGTCATCATATTTACTTATTGTTTAATGTAAACCAGATTGTAAATAAAACTTTGTAAAAAAAGCCAAACCAACCAACACCGACAGACAGAAGAGAGAAGACAGAGATAACAAAAACTACTAGCCCTAGCCTAAAAGAAGAGGGAAATATTTTATTTTATTAGGTTATTTAATTTATTTCAACTTTGTTCCTTTTGATCAGTTTCATGGTGCATTGTTATGGAGGAAATATACAAAAATGCAAAGGGCATCTAAACGCTTTTAAAAGTAAGGGGGGGGGCGGTAATTTATCTGGCGTTGCGTAAGTTACTGGAATATTAATTTTAAAATTCCTCCGTAATTTAAGTTCTTATAAATTTATCATGCTGGTTATCAGCCTTACTGTAATTGGATTATAAACATTTTCAGTGGCAAATTTCATGCCATTTAAAACCTCGTTTAACCAAATAATACGATCTAATCATAAACAATAACTTGTCCCCTAGTTATATAACCAAACAGTAAAGCACAAATCAAGAAATTAACCCTAAAATAATAGAAACAAAGTTTCGTCGACACTATCGCCTTTGTGTCACGTACATGAACTAGACACGAAAAACGTGCTTCAAAATTTACAATGGGATGAGAAGTCTACTTGTGTTGGTTAGTCTATGGTAGAAATTAGGCTTTAGTTATGTAGATGTATGACAATCTGTTTTAATTAATTGTATTAATCATATGACAACACCCATTTCACGTACATGATCAACGGTAAATAAATCATTTCATTTCATTATAGGTTGCCGACTGCCGTGCTTGCAACACTACTTGCGACGTTGCTACTTTGAAGGCCGCATCCTGGAGTTAAAGGTGGCCGTGGTTACTGTAGGGGTTCTCAAAATCAATTGTAGTCTTACGTGGTTGACTGAATATCAAATATCTGTGATTTCTTTGATTTTGAATGTCCTTGACTTAATTTTCGAGTTAACCAATGAACTACTGACAAATTTTACCAGTGTTTACAAGGAAAGGAACTGTCAGTTCAGTGTCAGTAGACATTTCAGTAACCAATAAGTGACTCTGACTCTGACTGACTAAACTTTAAACTTAGGTTTGTGGTGTGGTGACCGATGTCAAAATTTGAGTTTTCTTTAGAAGTGACGGGCTATTACTCCTCATTAAATAATTCGCAAAAACCCGACTCTTAGGCTTTGAACAATTTTATCTTCAACACATCGTAGTGTTTGTGTTCCCCTTAATATGAGAAATTTTCAAAATAGTTGTTCCTACAGGATTTATTATTGCATTGGTTTTTTGTTTTGTCTGCTATCAATAAACAATGTTTATGGTAAGATTAATATTTATTTAATACAATATTTAATAATCTAGATAGCCTAGAGTAATTAAAAAACAAAAGCTTCATTAGGTTAGGTTGTAAACAGAACGTGGTTGTGCTTAGCCCATTATTAGCCTACCATGACAGAAGACAGAACTTTTTATGTAGGCCTAGGTACAACTCCGCCGGTAAAACATAGGCCTATTGTTAATATGTTATAGTATATTACGGTACTAGTCCTGAAAATTGGTGTTTACCCGACAAGTGTAGTCGTTACTGAGTCCCGTAAACACATTTTGGACGAGTTACATAGGCTACGATATTTTACGCCATAAGCCTTAACTCAATAACTCATTTATTTAACCAAAAATAACAATTACATGCATTGGTCATGTCATTTAGCAAAACATACAGTTTCTTGACTTAAATAAGAAATAATAACTGTTCTTTTTTTTACACTAAGGATACCTATGATCAAACAAGTTTGATAGTTTATTTTAGCCGTCAGCCAGGAACTTACGGACGCTGTAATAAGCTTTTTTTAAAAGAAAAGATTTTAGGGTTTTTTTAAATTTCAGATGGTTTGATACTGCTTTGAGGTGAGAGGGAAGATGGTTGAACATTTTTATTGCATTATATCGGAGATGGTTTTGAAAGAAGGAAGTGTGTTGTCTAGGAACTGGGAGGGTAATTGTGGATCTCAAACTATAATGATGGTCTGTTGGAGAGTTAAACTTGCCAGTGTTTTGGTGCAGAAAGGATAATGTCTTGTAGATGTAGAGACATGGGAACGTTAATATTTCGGATGATAGAAAAACTGGTTTACAAGTCTGACGTCTATTCATTGAAAAGATGGCTCTGATTGCCCTCTTTTGAAGGCGGAATAAAATTAGAGTTCTTTTGTTCTCACACCCCCAGATAGGCAAGGCGTACACGAGATGAGGGAAGATGAGACCGTAATAAGCAGAAAGAAGGACATCGGGCTTAGATAGCTTTGCAAGGGTGCGGATGGCAAATATCCCTGAACTTACCCTATTGATGACGTATTGAATGTGGTCATGGAAATTAATCTTCTCATCTAAGATCAGCCCAAGAAACGGTGTCTTCTCTATTGGGTGTACTGGAACTTCATCCAAGTGAAAACTAAAATACTTAGAAGATCGATCAGAGATATGAAAATTGAGAAGTTGAGTCTTTTGAGAGTTTATCGAAAGCAGATTATTCTCAAACCACTGAACTAGCTTGTTGGCTTCAGAGAAGGTCAATTGCTCAAGAGTCTCTACATCAGGGCTGGACAAGGAAAGAGATGTATCGTCGGCATAAAGAATGGTCCTGGCCGATTCAACACCCAAGGGAAGGTCGTTAATGAACAGGAGAAAAAGTGTAGGGCCTAAGATGGAGCCCTGGGGCACACCTCTCGAGACAGGGAGCTCAGGTGAATTGAATTTCCGCAGAAATCCATGCTCATCGACTGACGATACCCGTACACACTGCCTCCTGTCCCTCAGGTATGACCTGAACCATTCTAACGCCAAACCTCTTATCCCATAGTTATGTAATTTTTCTATTAGAAGGTCATGATTAACAGAGTCAAAAGCTCTACTCAAGTCAAAAAGCAGTCCCGTGGAACAGTTTCCTTTATCAAGAGAGCAGACTATGTCATCAATGAGGGCAAACATTGCACTCGTCGTAGATCTATCTTTCACAAATCCGTGTTGGTTTTCACATATTATATTATGTTGTTTAAAAAAATTTGTCAAACGAATTGAAACAATCTTTTCAAAAATCTTCGAGATAGCAGTCAAAATGGATATAGGCCGATAGTTATTGAGGTCTTTTTCATCACCCTTTTTATGTACTGGTCTGACTATCGAAAGTTTTAAGGCATCTGGAAAACAACCCGAGACAAAAGAGAAATTAATCAGGTGGCTAATTGGTCCAGCTAGTAGATCTGACATACTCTTTAAGATTTGTACTGAAATTTCATCTGAACCAGCAGAATTTTTGTTTTTCAGAGAGGCAATGACTTCTTTTACTTCTTCCTTTGATGTTGGATGGAGGAAGAGTTCGAGCCTTTAGGTCGTCCTACCAATGCCACGCTTGTTTTCAATCCATTCTCTGAGTTATTAACATTGTCTTTGACAAAATTATCATTGAATCTGGAGGCAATGTGCAAGGGATCGTAAGTCGGCTCACCGTTATCATCTCTGATACACATTTCTTTAAAATCGTTTGATTTCTTTGGTCTTCTGCTATTGATGATTTGCCAGATTTCTTTCGCTTTGTTATCAGACGACTGAATTCTTTTAAATATCTCATTGGACCTCTCTTCTTTAATGACTGCACGGTATTTATATTTTAGTCGCTTATAATATTCCCGCATAAAGTGGGTGGACTCTAAGTCTTTTGTTTTCAAGTAGAGATCATTCAGTTCAGTCTTAAGCTGTAAAGCTTGTGGACTAAGAGTTAACTTCTGTACTTTCCTCTGTTTAGTCTTTTTTATGGTCTTAGGAAAAGATAAGTCAAGATAGTATTTTAACTTGTCAATGAACGTGTTGTATTTTAGATTCATTTCGTCAGAATTAAAGACATCAAGCCATTTCTCATAGGTCAGATAATATCTAAATACATTCAAATTAGCATCGTCAATCTTTCTAACTTCCTTAGACTTTATACGGTTATGGGTGGCAGGAATTGTTTCCACTATTATCGACGTAGCGTGGTGGTCTGATAATCCAGTTACTGTGACTGAACCTTTATTATTTCGTTCATTTGTGAAGATTGGATCTATAAGAGATTTAGAACACTTAAACTCCCTTGTAAAAGATGTTATCACATTGTAAAGGTTAAAAGTTGACATCAGTGACACAAAACGTTGACTTATAAAATTGTTTTTGGAAAGGTCAATATTGAAATCTCCCAAAACAACAGTTGAGCTGTGTTTATGAACATATTGATTTAGACAAGCTGAAATCGTGTCAAAAAACTTGTCATACTCTTTGTTAGGTGGTCTATAACCTGCAATAATTAGCATTTTCCCATTGTTTTCTAAGTTCAGTGACACTGCGACCAACTCACATACTCCCTCCATCACCTCACAATCAAGTTGTTGACATTTTATTTCGGGTCTGCTCCAGATGCCAACTCCACCCCACTTCTTAGTAGATCTACAAAATGCAGCTCGACACTCGTAGTTTTCCAAGCGAAGGTTCTGTAGGTGATTTTCTTTAAGTAAATGTTCAGAAAAACATATAAAGTCAGGTTTCTCTTCATCTAGAAAGATTTCAGTCTCGTTAAGTTTCTTAAAAAGACCTCTAACATTTTGGTGAGCCAACTTTAGAGATTTCTGCTGTGCCCTAACACCCTCCCGAGATAATGTGACCAAGGGACTCCGCGAGGTTTCAGGGCAGCTCCTAAAAAATTATTATTGAGGAAGGTGCGGGTATGATAAGTCTCTCTGTTAGGTGTAGAGGGGATAATTTTTGGTAAAGGTGTTCTGGTGAACTTTGAAGTTCGAGCAGTAGGCTTAGGAACTTCTGCGAAGTAGGCAGAACATAGGGAACAGTAGGGAACAGTAGGCAGAAACCTTCTGCTCCAAACTAACTTAACATAAAAAATCTATACAAATCCTAATATATTCCCTTCGACTAAAGGACTAACAATTTTAAGTAAGGTTATGTTTTTATTTATAACCACTCATTTCCAAAATAACTATTTAATCAGAAGGTTTCTGTCAGGTGAAAACCCATTACAGAACAGTATAGTAGGGAACTTGCGTAATGAAACCCCATTTGATTAAAAGCTAGCGGCAAACAGCTGTTTTCTGGACTAAGTTCTTGAGTGGGAAGCTCAGTAAAACAGTGTAACTTTGTGTGGCGTAATAGTATATTGTGTCCCTGAAAATATGTGCTTACCGGACAAGTGGGACCGTTCCCGTGCGAGACAAAGTTGAGTGCGGGATTACCATATGAGTCTGGTAAACACATTTTGGACGAGTGACGTAATAGCTATTTACCTTACAAGTGTAGTAAGAGCGTTTTTACATCAAGCAGTGATTAACTGCTTTAAATTACGTGATTAGCTTTTAATTGCGTAACGTGTAAGGTACAAGATTTTACCTGACCTGACAATATACAGGAGGTTACGAACAATATTTTTCATTATCCATTTCACTTGTCTTCTAACAGTAACGTTCATTTAGAAATAAAAGCTAGGTTAGGAAAATTCTTCAAAACATAAAAAATTCAACATAACAATTCATTTCTAGCGTTGAATGTCATTGGCTCCATAGAGGTATATTTTTAAAGCTAAGCACTCAATGTTATTTAAATGGGTTTCATTACCTCACCGAGTGAGTTTTTTTCAACTTTACATCACTCGAGAAGTAAAGAAGTTGTATACATCACGCTTGGGATAGGGAAGTTTAACATGGCGGGTTAGGTAAAATAGTTTACGCCGTACTACTAAATCTGTTCAAATCCTTATACTAACTTATATTACTACCAACTAAAGGACTAACAATCACTAGTCATAACCTCTAAGAGTGTGTGTGTCTTAAGTGTTTTTGTTTAATAACCACTCATTGCCAAATACAATATAAGTTATCAGCTGGTTGGTGTCTGGCAAAACTCATTACAGTACAGTAGTACCATAGACAAAAAGAAATAAATATACACTGTCAGCTGTGCTGCGGTTAGTGTATATTCCGGCGCCGACCGCTAGGGGTAATGTGTAATTATGGCGCACACCGCTGCAGCATCAAGCGCTAGCGACCGTTTCCATAACAACTTGGTAGTTGGGAGTAATGTTGCCAACTTTGGAGGAATTCCCCGGAATTGGAGTTTACCTACTGACTTATTTAATACTAAGCAATACATTAATTTAAATGCCATCATTTATTGTATTTTTTTTTAACATATATTTGTTATACTTTTGTAGTTTCATTACAATGATTCAAAGTTTTTCTTTACTAATCCATAATTTTAGGAAGTGGTTTATTGGAAGGTTTTGTTTCATATTTGCAAGGTTAAAATCTAATTAACCAGGGTGTCTAGTAGTCGGGGAAAACGGGAAAGTCAGGTATTAGTATTGAATTTCAAAATGTTCTTAAAAAGTTGGGATTTAGTATTTATTTTGATATCAAAGTCGGGAAGTTTAATGATTTTACCGCTATCGCGCTAGACACCGATCTCGTTTCCGTGACAGCGCAAGATGATGATGATGTCTACACGACTGCGGGAGATGTTCACCATTTTGCCGCAATTGTGGACGACGATGACGTTTCAGGATCACAGCATTCAATGATGATGTCTACACAGCCGGGGAGGATGTTCATGATTTTGACGCGATTGCAGAAGACGATAATAGCGATATAGTAAGCATTTAGTTTGCAAGAGTGGTAGTGCTGGTAACAGCTGGCGAGTAGTCGACGATGAAACCGAATAGAATACCGATAACCGATATCGAAAGGCGATAACGCTCTAGCGGGAGATCACAAAACCTTTCTTTGACAGTCTATATTTACTCTATTGTCTATGGTAGTACTTAATGAAACCCCATTTGATTAAGCTGGCGGCAAACCCCCTGCTGCTGCTGTTTTCTGGACTAAATCATAGCGTGGGAACTTCGTCAAAATAGTGTAGTGTGGCATAAAAGTATTTATTTTCATCTTGATCAATCTTAGTGATGCTTACTACGACTAGACTGTAATCTATTCAATGCATAGCCTAACTTATGTCATATTGTTTATTATCGTAATGCTGTGTAATCATGGGATGAGTTTGGTTAAGGTACTTAGTTTTTGTGTAGTGATATAATAGAGCGGGAATGAGTAGGGACCATGTTCCTCTTTGCTTTTTCCTAAGAACCCAAAAATTTATAGGCGAGCTGTATTTTTTCTAAGTTACAACAATGGTGAGCGTAACTTACCCACACTGTTCAATTTTTAACTAGGCCTAACCTACACCAATGATTTTGTGCACATTAGTTTGTTATGTTCTCATTCAGTGTATCAAAATAAAGATGGGATGAAATGATAAGCTAAATTAGAGTAGGCCTAAGTAACATACTGTTGGGACCATTAGGCTGTGCGCGCAGCTGGCTATGGTGTGAGAGGAGGGGGGATGATATTACTGGTTGTATAGGTACATTAGGTGGGGGGTCTGAGCCGAGCATAGACTAAAATGTGCCCAACAGTTCCATTCTAGATTACATGGATTGATGCAAGTGAATATCAACAGTTTTTGTTTAGATAATTTTGTAGCCTATGCATGATGGCTTGATGTACATAGTCGGATAAGTTTTACCCCTACCACTAAAAATGAGGAGTGGCCTTTGGCAGTGGCGTAACAGAAGGGCCTGCAGCGCGGGGGGGGGGGGCTGAGGGGGCCCGTGAACCGGAGAGCTGGAAATGGTAAGAGGAAACGGGCGAGCAAAGATGCCCGTGAGACGAGTGGGGCCGAAATATTGGAGTTCGTTCTTAATGAATCATTCAATAATTGTATGTATTGAACAAGTAGGCCTAATAACATTAATGTTATTACTAATATGTTGTTAACTTTGTTAGGCCTATTCAGTGATGACGAACTAAGGTACAAATTTGACGTTTTTTAATGTGGGTCATTGGTTATTGTGCAATCTTACTTTTGTCAAAGAGAAGTTTCAAGTTATTTTACTTCTCTGTGCTTTCGCACACTGCTTGGCCTATGCCTGCAAACATTATGGAACATTTATTTATACTAATACCATAATTTATTTACTACTACAGTATAATTAATTATGATGAATCTGTTTGATCATTGTATCGGTGCTCCAAAAATAACTCATGGAGGGGAGAAGGAGCTGAATCTCTTGAGATTGTTGCCATAACATCAACATATTTTGAGATCACAGTTACACTTATCAATTAACAATCATTGAGATGAAGATGTTATTTAAACATCATAATTTAAATTATTTAATCAAATTTTACAACCCTGACCGCTACAATTTCGCCATTGATATAACGTTATCAAAGAAATCAGCTTATTCAAAATTCCCACTAGGCCTAATCCGAACAGGGTTCAGTTCCAGTAGATCGAAATGAAAGGACTATAATTACATCTGTACCATTATTTGTTATCTTCTATATATATAAAATCCAATGTATGTTTGTATGTTTGTCCTTTATGGACTCCAAAACCGCTCGACAGATTGTAATGAAACTTTCAGGCATTATTAAGCATTATTCAAGGATGGTTTGTGTGAAGTTTGGTGCAGATCCGTCAATAGGGCTCCGCCCCAGTGGCTCTGGAGTTTCCCATGTTAACCTTATGAGTACTCATATTTAAATGGAATTAAAGAATCTTAACAGCTGGTGCAACTAAACAATTTGATTCTGTGATGTTCGATAGCATTAAAAAGTTAATAGGTTTACCAACAGGGTGCAGCACTATATTTATTTTTAATTTATGAGAACAGTTAATTTGCAACCAAAAGGTGAGTGAGCGTAGCGAACGAACTTCAACCTGGAGGCGAGTTAGCGTAGCGAACGAGCTAACCTGAAGGCAAGTGAGCGCAGCGAACGAGCTCCAACCTAAAGGTGAGTGAGCGTAGCGAACGAACTTCAACCAGGACGTGATTGAGCCATGCGAACGAGCTCATCTTGAAAATGAACGAGCATGTGACATAAAACCACAATAGGACAGGACGACGTCTGTCGGGCCAGCTAGTTAAGAATAAAATCCAATTGATTACAGTTCAATCGCATACCTCTAAGATTTTTGGTTTTATTAGGGAAAAGTTGGAAAATGTTTTTACACAGGTGTTCAGCCTGTGCGGTGTGGGACTCAAAAGAGTTTAAGACCCATAGACTCATCCGAACTAAATTGAGTTTGCCTACACCGACAGGGTATCCAATCCGTTCTGGCCAATATTGTTAAGATCCATTAGGTGCTCTGAAAAAATGTATTATTAATGGTTTTAACCAGTGGAATTTTATATCCAAGTTCATAATATCTTTTATAAACTGTTCATAATAATCTATATTTATTGTACTCTCCACATTTTGTTTTGCCTAACATTGTAGCAGCAATCTCAGTAACAACTAGTTCTGCTTTGTAGTCATACACTCATATCACTGTTAGCTGAAGCATAAACCAGAAATCACACCTTTTTTAATAAATGTATTGCAGTTTAGGTGGAGATCTCCCAGGATTAAACCTGGCAGAAACATTTCAGTTAGAATTCACACCTAATTATGTTCCTCAGGAAAAGCTGGTGAATTTGTGACCATCGGTTCTGTTCTGAAGCTCCTCAATACTGACTACAAGGTCAGACTGCACTCGCACGATGTGAAGTACGGAACTGGTAGTGGGCAGCAGTCAGTCACTGGAACTGAATCTCAAGAAGATGTCAATTCTCATTGGGTCATTCGAGGTGAAACCAAGAAGCTAGTGTCTCGAGGGTAAAAATTATGATTTTCCCGATCCGTAAATATAATTAACCCTTACCGTACCTGAAAAAATATTTAGTATAATAGAACACATTTAATTTTTTTAATATTAAAATTAAAAAAAAATTTTTTATATACTTAAAAATCAACAATTAAGTTCTTAGAATGCAAATATTATTTTACTTTTAAATAAAATGCAGGTGTATGCGCACTATTCCCCAAATATCTGTACTGTAGCCTACATCAGATAAGGGTTTCACATTATAGTTTTACCATTTTGGCAAATTAACCGTATTAAGCTATTATCACAGGTCTTATTATAAGACATTAGCCTGGAACCGATTTACTTTTTAGTTTTTTGTTTTGAGGTACCCAGAGGTCAAAACACATCAAATTATCTATCCTCTAGCACATCACTTCCAAAACCTTTTTTGGAGGAATTTTCGGTGACCCAAAACGGGTATTCCCACCTAAACCTTTAACCAGGAATATACTCACTGTTTAAGAAAATGTTAAAAAGTTTCTTCTTAGACACAATATTTTTATTGACTAAACTGATTAAACGATTTTTTAGTTAAATAAAATGTTTTTCCTATATATTGCTGCACATTTTATAATTAAGTAAGACTGTAAATAGGCAGTTATGGTTGTCTTGTCGGATGTCGATGAAAGTCCAGATAAAATTAAACAGGCACTAAAGTAAAATATTAATTTTTGAAAAATGGTCCTCTTCCCGTTCCCTCTTCATTGAGTTCAAACCCGACCCTTTTCCCGCCTACATTGTTACTATCACACACTTAATGATCAACTTGCGCTAACAGTATCACATTCCTAAAATAACTCAGAAATGTTCATAAACTATTGTTCAAAGACCGGTCGGATTAACCAAATGTTATTAGGGTATGTGATTAAGGTTTGGCAGTTTTATTTTGATGTGCTAAAAATAGTTATTTTGTAATAAGGGTTAGCAAAAGGTTGGTTGTTTCAGTGACCCTGTGAAATGTGGAAGTGTTGTTCGGTTAACACATTTAGCTACAAACAAGAATCTGCACTCTCATCACTTCTCCTCCCCCTTGTCGGGTAACCAAGAAGTCTCGGCGTATGGCACTGACGGTGAGCTACATTTAACAAACTTGTAGAAACTTACAATATAGATATATAACTTATAGGGTTTCAGAAAAAGAGTGCTGGGATTTTAAACGGTCATTGCTTGCTAGTCAAGATAAACACTTGTATGTCAATTTTTAGTGAAATACCTATGCTTTTTTTGTGTAGCAAGGGAGGAAACGGTGAGCTAGACATGCGCCAAAAGATATGCGGTGACAGCCTGCAGTTGTGTGACTCACATGCCAGTCGGCAGTACAATACTTCCGGCTGTGATCTTTTGCAGAGTGAAATCGATTGTTAAATTAAATTTTAGAAACTTTGAATCCACCTGATGATAAAGCAATTTTGTTGCTGGTTTAATCTATTTGGTGTCAAAGAAAGTGTTTTGAAAGGTCACAAAACAAGTGATGACAAAGTTGAAGAAATCCGACGATCCTGCATTATTAGCAAGAAAAAAAAATCAATTCCCTGAAGTCTTTAGTAGTGTTGTATTAAAAAATATCTAAATCGACACTATACACCATGTTGTTCATAAAAGGTATAGACTTTGTGCCTACACAATTCATTTAAGGCATCAGATTAAACCTGCCGATCACCCTTAGCGAACAGACTTAGCCAGTTTTATGTTCATACAAAATTGATGACAATTTAAAATTTAATAAAACTTTCTGAATTATATTTAAGTATGAAAAAAATTAAATTAGTTGTTCATCAGTGACATGCTTCTTCCACCACTTGAGATTAACAATTTTTATCATGAAGCTTTTCTTCACAGGTGATGGTGACACTGGTGACCATTGGATTGTCATTTGTGACGGGGATTTTTGGGAGAGAGATGAGAAAGTAATGCTCAAACATGTTGATACAGATGTGTAAGTTTATCTATAAACTTAGTTTGGTGTTAATAGTTTTCTGGTTTATATTAAGAGTTTTACTCCCTGTTAAGAAATAATTACCTATTGAACTAGTGAAATTCATGGTGGAAGGAAAAAACATAGGTGTGCTTATTCCCATCATATTCTGACGTCACTCGGATTGCAAATAAAAGATCACCTGATTGTAACTGTCAAATTAGTAAATGTATTTGTTTTGATTTGGTTGTTATTGTTTTTGAGTGAAATTGGTATTTTTCAAGTAATGGCGATTTTGTTGAGTTTACAATGGGCACTTTGATCACGAATTGCACTTTGTATTTTGTCTACAGTTTCTGGAATGAGACAACTAAAGTATATTTCATCACTAGGGCTTAAAGTGGCTCTTTTCAACCTCGGAAAATGGGCTAGGGTAGAAAATACACTTTTGCCAGGGGGTGAAATATATATTTTGTAGAAATATCCCTACATAAATCCCAAAGTACCCATGAACTTTTGAGAAAACTAACCTTGCCTCTTAAGGTCGTAATTCCTTTCTAAAGGGAACTTTCCATATACCTACCTAATGTTAAAAATACCTCAGCTTCAGCTGTACTTATTATTTGTTTGTCATTCTTTCAATTTATTACCTTATTAAAATCAGGTGTGATTATTTGTTTGTATTACTGTATTCTGTTTTTTTTTCAGCTCAACTTAACCAATCAATTGTTTTATTAATACTTATGAAGTCAAACGGAGTGAAGCCCATGGGTAACAGCATAGACAAAAAGAATTAAATATAGACTGTCAGCCGTGCTGCGGTTGCCATGGTTACCATAGGTTCCGGCGCACACCGCTGCAGTTTACGTAGCGCGTACGCCGTAACTACGGTGGTGCTCCAAGCGGTGTGCGCCAGAACCTATGGTAACCGCAGCGCAGCTGACGGTCTATATTTAATTCTTTTTGTCTATGGTAACAGCTAGTTTGAATTAAATTCGAAACTGGCAATTGGAATAAATATTGGTGTTTTAGTTATGTTTACTTTGTACTATGCCCATAAATTCAGTTACATTTTTGTATTTAGCTAAAACAGTAAATTTCATGTAATTTATACTATCTTACATTTACATTGGCAATTGCATATTAAGAAGCTATTTACTTTTCTCAGGTATCTGTCTGTGACTAGCAACACTTACGGACGGCCAATCAACGGACAGTACGAGATCGTAGGAGTCCAATGGCCGAACTCTAACCCTGTGCATTGGAAAGCTTTGGAAGGACTGTTCATCCATCCTTCGGACTTCAATCCTAAGAAACAAGTCCACATTGAACATACGGAACTGTAATTTAGATCTGTAACCCTGCAATCTATTTATTGTGGATACCAAAGTGCACGGTGCAAGCGTTAAAGTGATGTACCTACAGGTAAAATTGTGATATGTTTCAATAGTGAATGACATTACCAGTAGAATGAGAACGTTTTGTATCTAGAACAGGTGGGATAATGATTACAAGCTGTGTATTATTTTCATGACTAACTTATATCAACTTTTAAAACGGTTGCAATACAACTGTTTTTTTTTTTTATCGAGCTACAGTAAATTTAATATTGAGTAAAAAACTGTAATAAATGTAGTTTGATTTTCGTAGGAGGATAAATTCTCCACTCTCAAGAATGGCTATATTATTTTTGTTTAATTCCTGGTAATTTTAATCTTACCTTATAATGGTCATCGTCTAAATTGAGACCGCCTAAAATATTTCACTTGTTCATTTACTGTACTGAAATATCAAAGTTGAAAATTTAAAATATCAATATAGAATAGGCATGACATTCCTTTTAAAGCTGAACTTGAAAGCAGTTATAAGTCTGGGTTCTTTTTTTGTGTGTAATATGTGTTTTTGTTGATTCTTTAAATGTAAATACACTATAAATATTTTAATTTTTTCTGTTTGTTTAACCTCTAATCATAATACTTATTTTGCCACAGATATTACATAGCATTAAATTCAGCTTTTTAAAAATATTTGTGACTAGCATATTAAGAGTGTATTTTCAAGATATACTGACAAAATTATAACGTTTATAAAATAAGAAATAACATAGACCTACTGCAGTCTGGAAAATAATTGTTCTGTACTGGGAGAAGACTTTGATATATTGAAACCTACTTTCATCACCATATTAACTAATTGTAGTTCATAATAATACAGATTAACATTTAGGGTCACTTTGAAAAATTGTAATCCTGACTCATAACAACACGGGTAACAGACCAATGAGGTTCAAAGATTTAGAGAGAAGAAGTAACATTGTAATGATTCAAACTTCAACTAATCAGCTGTTCAGGCCAATTTAATTGTTGAGTGGCACAATTAGTGTTTGGAACCATTTTTTGTTTCATCACTATCCAATGGCAATGAGAGGTTATAAACAAATACATAACCTACCTGTCTGAGGAGCTATGAACAGTGATTTTTAGTAATTAAAAAACATTCGTAGATAAAATAGTGTATGCAACCCGCGTAAATAGTGTTAACGACACTCGTAGAAGTTTTTAAGGCTCTCGCCAAGGCTCGTACCTCAAATTGTGTACTTGTGTCGTTAACACTATCTTTACACAATTGTTTACTATAATGTTATTGCTATGGGGGATAATAAAACTGTGGCAATTTGCTTTTTTACGGATATATTTTGATCAAACTTGACAGATTTATTCCTATCATCTTACTATACTATTAACAACTTAAAAAAAAAAAACATATTCTACTACCTTTCCCGTAGCAGCAAACCTAAATACTTATTAAATCTAATGATTTTAAAATTAGGAATAAATATTACTTGTATTGAAATATTGCAGTAAAAATCCAATTAGACTTATTGAAATTTGCTAGCCTGCAGGTTTGCTGCGGCGAGGGTATTTACTGTATTATCCAATAACTCCATTCCACACATTACAGGACATTCTCCTGGTCCTGTAACCACCCTATTATCAGAGCCAGTAAACTACATACATTTCGCTGAAACATTGTTTACGTGATTTTGTATTCCCGTGGCAGTTGTGCAAACCACTGTTTTTCCAGAGCGGCTCCGTCCATAGTCCAAATCTGTGTGAGCAGTTGCCACCCTCCTGCTTGGGTGGTGAGGACATATTCATTGGAAGGATATAAGGAGTGAGTGTAAAGACCAAGGACCAAGCTTTGACAAAGCCTGGCGCACACACACACCTGGAACAGAAATCTTTATCGAACCAACAAAGCGTGTTAACAATACTTTACCTTAATTTCTCATCTCTCATGAAAGGATTTCTTTAGAAGGTTAAAATATCTTTTTAATTTGACAATTTGAAAAAAGTGTTTTCATCACTCGTAACGAAAGTAACTATTTTTTATAACAGCTGACATTAATGAAAGTAGTCGGTTCCCAAGCTCTAATTTAGGGCGAGGGAAAATCGATCAGCTGATTTTCCCTCGCTCTCAATTAGTTATCCATTTATTCTCTACGCGCGCTAGTGTTTTGTAACGGTTTAATTTAATGATTTGAATCAGCTGTATGTAATGTTAAAAGTTGTTTTATTCTTTTGTTTTCATGTTTAAACACAATTTATTGAGAAATATACGCAAGTTTTCTTTTAGAAGATTTTATTTTATTTTGATGTTCAATCAAATTAATTGAGGAATAAAATATTTGTAATATTACTGAGGTCTGCTAATCTGTGTTTGTGTATTTTTGCGTCGTGATGAAAAGTATAGTTCATAACTCGTACCGAAAGTTATTATCCGGCACTTGCTCCATTATTCCCGTCCTCGGCTTCGCCTCGTACGTGAAAATAGCTCTCACATACTCGGCTTCGCCTCGCACGTGAAATTGGGGTTCCCTGTGTGAGGTGAAGCCAAACACAAAAACTTGACACGCGACGGAAAATGCCACTTTCGGTCCTAGTAATGAAATATACTATTATTTGGTGAGTTGGTGGCCTCGTCAGTTGCATGAAGAACTGTGCCTTAGCAGTGATGGGCGATCCCAGTAACACCACTTAAAACTTCATACCTAACACTGAAGATCACTCTAGTTTTGACATTTTTATCTTCAACCTACCTTAGTAGAGGTGGTGTTTCTTGTTATTTCAGTCATTTAAAACCTCGTTTAACCAAATAAAACGGTCTAGTCATAAAGATCAACTCACATCTTAGTTATATATAGCCAAATAGTACAGCACAAAACATGAAAATAACACCCTAAAATAATAGGGAAAAAAATTGTCGACACTAGTGATCGTAGCGTCACCAGCATGAACTAGACATGAAAAACAAGCTTCAAAATTTACAATGGGATGATAAGTCTTTTAGTGGTGGTTAGTGTATGGTATTAATATCATTTATTTTTTATATCAGCGTTAGGAGTTTAATTTATTTTATTGTTTGTCGTTAAAAAAAACATGTTTTTATATTTAAATAAAACGTATAGTCACATACTGGTGTTATCTTGTTAGGGTTAGGAGTCCAATTTCTTTCAGTCTTGGTTGTGTATTTTTCTAACCTTAACCAGGTACGTAAAAACGTTTTGCTTTCAGACCAATTCGTAAATTACAAGGAAAAATGTGGTTCGGATTCCACTATAAACTGTAGGTCCCTTAGTTGCCATTAGCTGTATGGGCTATTAATTAACAGCTGTGTCTAAGGAACATGTCGGCCTTAGTCACTAACAAGACTACAAGATCGCGCCACTCATCCTACACTCATCCTTCACTCATATTTGGGTTAAAATACGCACATAGTGGCGTCCCCATCTTAAATAATTGATATTGATATATATATATTGGTATCCAGTTTCAAGATTGTATTTTAAGTTTTGATTTAGGTTGTGAGATATAAAATTTCTGGTTTCCACCACTATTTCCTTGTACCACTTTACCTTGAGCAATTTGAGCTCATCAAGTGGCAGAGGAAGTATGGAACAGTAGCCAGCGATAACGTGTGTTCCTGACTCCACCAGACCACTCTGCAGTATCATGTAGGCTGTGGCCAACGCCAGTTCTATCACGTAGGCGGAGTAGTGTGAGTCGCCGAAGTCTAGCACAGCGTTGATGCTCCATTCTCCATCAATCAGCTGGCACAGTAGGTTCTGGTCGTGGATATCTCCGTGGATCATCCCTGAATGATAATCACATCACTTCATACAACATAATAATTCATTTTTATAGCCCCAGGATTGCGTAATATGACTAATAATGGTTAAAAACGTACCTTGTCAGACAATCCTTGTGTTAAATGTATGTAACAACTCTGACGGCACCTCAAGAAGTGGATCCTTTTGTGTGCCTGACGATGGTGGAATTTAATAACCACCGAAACATGTAGCAAGTTTATTATCGACACTATAAAACATGTCAAGGATTGTCTGACAAGGTACGTTTTTAACCATTATTAGTCGTACAACATAAGTTCTAGACGAGGATGAGCAAAAGGCTGTCCGAGATAGAAAGATAAAACAATAAACGGTATCTGCAAACTGACTCACACTGTCTTTCATCAGCTAGATTTTGGTAAAATAAGACTGCATTAAAATGGAACATTCTTCTAATTTTGTAAGGAAAAATGTTAAAACAATTACAATGGGTACCTAACCAGAAGGATTAGGCTTTTTATGGAAAGAACAAAAAACATTCTTTAATTTTAGAATTGTAATTGTGAAAGGATTGGGGGTTGAATAGTTTTATTTAGAGTTCAAAGGACTACAACGTACTAAAGTTTAATAATAATCTATGAAGCCTTTTTTTTATATCAGATATTTCTTTTATTTTATTAATTTTTACTTTATGGGAAAATCACCATTAAAAATCAAAATTTAAAAATGTCTGGAGATATCATGGATTAGTACCCACGAACTAAATCATATCGAACTCGAACGGCAGGTGAAGTCGTAGCTCTTCGCATCCACACACAGATGTCACTTCAAAAACCACTTTTTGTGTTCATGGGGATATTTCCACCCATAACACAAACTCAAAATATTGACAAAATCTATACTTTCTCCAATATGTTTGGTTAAATATAAGGTTGTCATTCTTACTGTTTGATGTTGCATCTCTATCTTACTTATTACTTTAAGGGTGTAACATAAAGCACAAGGGCCTAGGTTTTTAGGATTTTTTAGAGGATAGCAGGCTTACCTGAATGGGAAAGAGTCCAACCTGGCACGGGAAACACAAAACTTTACACTATATACTCAAATCATTAGAATATTTCACTGTCACTGACAGCATTTTCAACTAAGGAAGAGAGAGTTTTCTACATGTCCAAAATGGTGGCCAGTGAGTTATTGAGTCAGTGTTGCCAATAGTATGAATTCAAAAAATACAGTTTCAGTTTATGTTAGTCAAAGGTTATATACACTATACATATGAATAAGTATGTAATCCTGCTTGTTTCTTATTACTTTGATAATAGTATAGTTTTGTGTGTACAAAGCAGATGCTTAATTTCATACAAAAGAATCTTTTTCTATGAATTTTTTATAGTCAGCAAATTTGATGACTGTTGATCTATACCTGATTTTAGTGAACCTAAGTTTTTTAAGACTTGGTCTTTGAAACTCTGCACAACCTCTTTGACCATTTCAATCCTTTTGTCGGTTTCTTTAAAAACAAATAAATAGTCCTCGATTGTCGGCATGTTCTTCAGCATCCACAATGAAGAGTACTGTTTATAAGCTGGATGAGAGAAATTCTGGAAAATAAACATTGTATTTTAGTTTAGTGTGTATACCATGTTTCAATAATTTGTTTGTAATTTTTCTTAATCTAAAAAATGTGTTAGTAAGCAACGATTTAAGACAACAAAGATTCAATAATGGCATAGTTTGACTTAACTGCTTCATGGGAATCTGTTAAAAATTAATTTAACTGGGTATGAAGTTGCTTTTGAAACAATTACTTTACTTAATTGAGTTATCAGCCATACACAAGCACACACACATATTTATTTGTATTTGGCCTCTAAAGACAACGAAACAAAAAAGTAAATCGATCCTGGGTCTAAGTTTACTATCATGATTGATTTGTAGCAAACGGATTGATGTTTTAATTAATAATTGTAACGTCAATCAATCCAGTTGTGTATTGGAGGGACGTACGTTTCGACCTTTAGGCCATCTTCAGCCCCGCTGTTACACTAAGTTCCATCCTTAGTTGCATTGTTGGTGTAGCAACCGCGTCAAATATTAACAATTAAGAACATAAAAAACACAAAAACACGACATTGACGAAGACGAACACATATTAATAAAACTATCACCGTGCGCACGGCTGAACGGGCTCGGAACTGCGGCGGCACTGACTTGTCTAAGTGCCCTGCTTTAGACTTTGAACCATGACGTCACTCACTCCTTCTTGCATTATCTGTCAGTCGAATAATGGTATCATATACAGGATTGGCGTCTGAATGAATTCTTTCATTTAAAATATTTTTATTTAGCTTGAAACCCTTGTATATGGCCATTTCTTCTAGTCTGTCAAGCCGCTGTCCTTTCTTTTCCCTCGCTAAGATTTCCAAACTACTGCTTATATTTGTATAAGTGTGCCCCTGTTCACTTAAGTGCTCCGCATATTTTGATTTAATATTTGTTTCTGGTGTTCTACTAATATTCTCAAGCTCTTTAACATGTTCTTTAAATCTCAATTCAAAAGATCTGCCCGTTTGTCCTATATAAAATTGTACAACAAACAAACAAACAAAGGTTCAGGTGTATACCAACTTAATTGTAACGACTGCAACGCATTTTATATATGGTATTTTTTTTATTTTCCAATTTTTTGGCGCCCCCCAAAAAGCCAAATTGTCTCGTGCACTAGGCATGTGCCTATTCAGTAAATCGGCCCCGATCAGAGGCAACAAAGAATAAGGTTGTAGGTACAGTACTTTAATTTAATTATTTTGTACCTGGAGCACCAAGTCCAGTCTTGCCGTGTACACCCCAACATCAAAGTGGAATTTTAAAGTCCATGGTAAATCCTTCAACATCTTTCCATCCACAAACGTTAAAAGTCTAACAGCGTGCTTCTTTGATGGTTTGTTATCTGAAATGAAAGTTTTTCAATAACTGGTATATTTTTACGATCAAGGTAATTTTAGTGAAGAGAAAAATCAAGTTAAGAAAATAAAATGGTAACAAAGTAGCCTACATAATGCAATGTAATAAGTTATGTATAAATAAATGTCCAAGAAGTATATTACCTGTGCTTGATACTGAATTAAAGCTGGATTTTTCTTGATAAGGTGCTGAAAACACCATCAATGCTCTGACCCATTCGCTTTTTAAGTTCCTATTTCATTAAAAAATCATAAACTGTGAATTGAAGGTAATTAAATGAGAATATAAAGTTTTTTAAGTTTGATACATTTAGTATATAAGATAACATTTTAATATTCATGAACCATTTTACTCAACTTGAAACAACATGCAGACTTCTACAAGATTAATTTCAATAAAAATTCTCTACCTTTATTATTTTGAGGCAGGTCTTGAATACAGAACAATCTTCCATCCGTGCTTTTTTGAGGTTGTGGCGTTTGTATTCCATTGTTTCCTGAATAAAGCAAAATATTTAGAAAAATTAACTTAAACATAAAAGTGGACGTTATGCCAGATATGAAATTCTACAGCAAAGTTTCTTAAAAAATGGTCTCTAAACAGCAGAGAGGTCCTTATATTTTTAGGGGTCTACAAAATTATTTCTATTTCTTCAAAATGGTAACATAAAAGCTTCATGCTTTGGCCAATACACATTTTACTTTGTGTTGAAAGTTTGTACTTGGAAAGTTCAGATCATGCATAAAAAATATATTTTTTAAATTCGATGAAATTGACAAGACAATTAATAGTTTAGTCCTGCAAATAACCCTTTCCGGGATAGGTGGTTTAAGAGTGAGGCAAAGCTGAGCATGGAAAACAACAGAACTATCAAGCCTTGGAATGGAACTTAGTGATGACTAGTGAATAAAATTTTTCATCACGTTGCAAATAATCACACAAGTGTCTATTAATTCTCTTTATGCCACACTACACCGTTTTGACGAACTTTCCACCCAAAGGAAAACAGTCCAGAAAACAGCTGTTTGCCGCCAGCTTAATCAAATGGGGTTTAATTACGTACTACTATTGTAATGAGTTATTAATGGACACCAACCAGCTGATTATATTTGACAATGAGTGGTTATAAACAAAAACATAACCTCTCTTAGATGTTATGAGTAGTGGTTGGTTAGTCCTCTAGTCTATGGAAATATAAGGATTTGTACAGATTTTTACAGTTAAGTTAGCTTAGAGTAGTATGGCATAATAGCTATTTACCTTACAAGTGTAGTAAGAGTGTTTTTACATCACGCAGGTGAATGTTGTGCAACGAGCGGAAGCGAGTTGCATAATTTACCTAAGTGATGTAAACACGCTCTTGCGTAACGTGTAACGTACAAGATTTAACCTGACCCGACAATATACAGGAGGTTACGAACAATATTTGTCATTATCCATTTCACTCATCTTCTAACAGTAACGTTCATTTACAAACAAAAGCTAGGTTAGGAAAATTTTTCAAAACATAACAATAAAATTCAAGAGCACAGCTGATTTCTAGCGTTGAACGTCGTTGGCTCCATAGAGGTATATTTTTTAAGTTAAGCACTCAATGTTAATTAAATGGGTTTCATTACATCACCGAGTGAGTTTTTTTCAACTTTACATCACTCGAGAAGTAAGGAAGTTGTATACATCACGCTTGGGATAGGGAGGTTTAACATGGCGGGTTAGGTAAAATATGGTACGCCACTCGTCCAAAATGTGTTCACCAGACTCGTATGGTAATCCTGCACTCGACTTTGTCTTGCACAGGAACGACCATACTCGTCCAATAAACACCTATTTTCATAGGACTAGTAACGTAGTATACTATTAAAGCATAGCATAGTTTTACAATTTATATAAAAGACAGCTGTTTGAACAATACACAGTCTTAATAAAAGATAAAGAATAGTAGTGCTCAACCTGATGAGCTATTTGGGAATTTAGTTTTAACTTTTTGGGACAGGTAAAAGTTGTTTGGACAGGTAAAAATCACATGTTTGGATTGCAACGGAATGTGTATTTTACGGTTGTATCTTTGCCATGTGTAGATTGCCAAAAATGTAAATATAAACTTGTGATGGAAATATAGCATTTGTGATTGCTACTTATACTTACCAAGGTGTATCATAATTTCACACTGGGCTTGTACGCAATCTATTTTTTCGGAATCAGAAGAGTTCATAATCTTTAGGACATACCCATGTGGTGAAATATGTGGTATGTTTTTATTATTTGTGATGGATTTTGCCTGAAATCATCATAATGATTTAATTAGTAACTCCACAACATATGTATTTTTGTACATGAAGTACTATATTAAGCCGGGTTTTCCTAGGCGCGGAAGTGGAGAGCGGAGAGAGTAACGCGGAGAGCGGACTCCACTTGTCTTAGGTAATTTAATAATACTGTTTTCCTAGAAGCGGACCGGAACACCATATTAATCTCTTTTCCGCTCTCCGCGTTCCTCTCTTCGCTTCCACGCCTAGGAAAACCCAGCTTTTAAGTATTTTGAAATTTTGTTTTTTCTTCTGTTTTTAGCTAGAAATAGTGTGTTTTTTACTTTTATTGACTGGAATCTTGCTCCGTCTAAGCTCAAATAAACACAGTAACTATATTTTATACAAGTTGTAAAATAGCATTTACCTTACAAATGTAGTATGTGTTTTTTACATCACATCACGCACCTATATATTGTCGGGTCAGGTACAATATTTTTCATTATCCATTTCACTCATCTTCTAACAGTAACGGTCTTTTACAAACAAAAGCTATGTTAGGAAAACTCTTTAAAGCATAACAATAAAATTCAAGTGCACAGCTGATTTCTAGTGTTAAACGTCGTTGGCTCCATATAGAGGTATAATTTTTTAAGTTGAGCCCTCAATGTTATTTAAATGGATTTCATTACTTCACCGAGTGAGTTTTTGAAACTTTACTTCACATGTGAAATAAAGAAGTTGTATACATCAATCTTGGGATAGGGAGTTTTTATAAACATGGCGGGTTAGGTAGACTTCCTTAAAATCATAACTCTAATATGTTTATGAAAATATAAAGGACCCCAAAGAAATAATCATAGCTCCTGTTGAAAAAGAAAACTGGAATTTAAATGATAGTTTTACCCTTTATATAAAAAAATATCATAGTTGATTGTATCTATTATGAATTTTTATGAATAATAGGGCTAATTAATGACCAAAAAGTTATTACTGGTAATTTGTCTTGATCCTTACTTTCCACTTCATGACTATACAGATCTTAAATATTAGTCAAAAAAAGAGATGTTTTAACATAAAATGCTAATAAATAAGTTATTTAGTTTTACTGTTCATCAATGAATAACACGATTTTAATGTGCGATGAATGTAATCTAACTACTGCGTTTTAATGGGAAGTGAGCTGGTCTAAGTCTCGAGTTCAAAACCCGCCAATCACCAATGGATTTTGTCCAAGTGCACAACTCCTAGGCCTAGCCTGAAGTGAAAAACGATACCATGACAAAATATATGCTTGCATTACAGGACAAAATATATATAAATGCACCAACAAAGTTACAAATATTCTTACTTTTAAGTGGTAGTTTTTGTCATCGTAACCATCAAGTTCCTTAGCTTCACAAACATCAATGCCATAAAGATGCTCTGCCAGTGCGATTGCTTCTGCCAGTCTTATCTTAGGTTTGATCTCTTCACCTGGAGCTACAATTTGGTCTGCCATCCTGGGAGGGGAACAGATTTTAAAGTTATTACCTAAAAATTTTAAAATTTGAATAAAAATAGGGTAGCCTCTGGGGACATAAAAATTAATGGTAAATCCCTCCTGGGTCTTTCCATGCTGCCTAGTAATAACTTGTTCATCCCTATAAGGAAATTTGCTTATACAGTACAACTTAATTTTTAATTATATATAATTCATAGATTTTGAAAATACTTGTAGAAAGTTTAGTTTGTAACATTCCAAAACATTCCCATCCTAGTTAGAGAAAAACCATTAGAAACAGTAACTTATACAGTCACAGTGTAATTCTAGTCATATTAATAATCATAGTCAGTGAATTCATTAGTCTTACCCACTAGATGTCCTATCCAAAGAGCTTTGGTTCAATGAGTACTTAAACACAAGGGGTCTTATCTGCTCTAGATAAAAATTGTAAACAATGAAACTCAATAACACAGCTGTTATAGGGGAGAGATCAGCTGATAAGTGACAATATACTATGAGTGTGGCATTAATCAAATGATTGCTAGTCTCCCTTTTGATGCTGTCACTACATACAGGATGTTACTGAATAGTTTCCGGCTCTCACCCACTGAATGGGTCAAATACAACTCATCAAACTAGAAACTGAAAAAATTTGTTGAGTTATTAATCAGTATATCATTTGTATGTGTCTTGGATGATTAATTAATAATTACTGGTGGGCATACTGTAGTTGGTAAATAAAAAAGTTAAAAAATACATTTACCTACTCACAAGATTTTACTTTTTTTATTGTCCCACTTTACTCAGTACTCAGGACATGAAAATCCACAATATTAAGTGAACTTTGTCCTTGGCCAATCCTTGGTCTTTATTTTGACCATTTACTCAGTTATTTGCGCCTAAATAAATAACTAAAAACGGTTAATACAAATTAAGCTACAAGTTTAGCAATGGTTGATTAATAATAAATAGTATATATTTAAATTGTATTTGTAGTATAGTTGTATAGTTTATTTTTATTGTAAAAGTAATATAAGGGAAACTCGCGCAGTTAATTTTAACTTTTATCATTTAAATTTCAGAATTTCAATTTACTATGATGGAAATTTTCCTGAATACAGCTGTCCAAATTATGTAAACTATAAAAAAGAGTGCATACAAATTGTAAAATCTACCCTTAAATAAGAGTGAAACATTGAGTTGACGCCAGTGCACTCAAACGTCACCAACATGAAACACTCAACTGTTAGAAAGATATTTCCCTGTAGATGTGCAGTGCAGAATCCCCTTTATAAATTAAAATAGGCTCAGAATAAGCACAAAATGAATTAAAAATTGTTTAAAAATTAACATGGGCCTTATGGGTTGCTATGCTCTAGTGACCGAAAAACAACAAAATATATAAACAATAGAAAATCAAAACAAATGAGAAATACTAATTACATGTTTTATTTACAGCTTAGTGTGAAAATAGAGAAGTCAGTACTTACATAATTTTGGTCAAGTTTTCGGCCACTGGATGACCTCTAGTAAATATAAATTAATACTTCTTGACTAATGTAAACAGAAGTCAGAACATGTACTTTGAGGGGTAGAATTGATTCCCATTCTATAAATTTCAAAGGTTTGAATGGTTTTTGAACCATTTTACTTTAAAATGTAGGCTATTTAGATTCTATTCTACCATTCCAAAGATTTAAAGTTTACTCTGTTAGTTGAGGTCTAGAAAAATCATACTGCAGCCCTCGGTAAATTCAGTTTTTTTTTTTTTTTTTACATATCAAATATTGTAATTTATTTACTTATAATTTAGTGCCCATCTCAACTGAGGTGCAGGAACTAACTCATAAAACCAATTATTAACACATAGTTTAACTTGAATTTACAATAAAGAAGCCAAAAAGCAGCAACAAAGTATTGTGCAATCGCCTGTACAGTTGAAATTGTGTTAAAAAATTAAATTATATTCCTTTAGAATAAAAAAAAACCCACTTCCAATCCAAGTATGAGATGGAGATCCCATATAATGCTTCAGATCAAGCCCTATAGCTGCTTAAGGTGTTTCACTTAAAATATCTCACTTAAGCAAACCTGCAGACTTTAGACTAAGCAAATTTCCATTTGCCTCACACTTATTTTCATTTATTCACTATTGTTAGATTTTCACTTAAACATTTCCTTAAAATTACAGATGTATTCTCTATTTAGAAAAACTTCAGGTTTAGTGATGAGTTAATTGAGTACTTATATAGAATAGAATGAGCGTTAATATGTCTCACCATGCCGTCCTACAGTATAGCTATTACATTTTCTTTTCTGTATATCATACAATGTAAACGTGTGAAGCCTCTTCTGATGGGGTATTCTATGTATAGAGCAAAACTTGTCATAAGATAAAACAGGTTTCACAATCACTTCACTATTTCAATTTGAAATTGTAAGAAACAACTAATTCCTACAGTTACCTAACAATGTACATGTTCTCTCACTGATTTGAGTAAGCAAAGTGGCCAATTCGCTCATCAGTGAGACAATATTAACATTGTCTCACTCTAATTACTTTGTCTCACTCCAGATTTGCAACGTGAAGGCACGAAATAGTGAGCGCGTAACATGCAGGCAACGTCGTATGCACGCGAAATACGTTGGCAGCACTGGCTGTAAAATATCAGCTGGTCAGCTGTTGTACTGTTGTATTTGTCACTTCACGTTAAATGTTGTATTAAAAGTTTACTTCTGCGTAAAAATAGGTTAAATGTTTCTTCACAAATTTATTTGTTTTATGGTAACTGTAGGAAAAGTATAATGTGCAACTCGAGTTCAAAGTACATTTGCCTCACTCGAGAAACCATTTCTCACTCGCCTACGGCTCGTGCGTAAGGATTTCTCTCGAGTGAGTCAATTGCTCACTTTTCACACTAGTTGCACAAATAACTAATGTTTAGTCACCCCTTTTTACTCATTCAATGAATTCCAATTCTTTGATACCTCCGGTGCCAGCCTGCCAGTTTATTTCTTAGTAGAATTGAATTTTAAGTTTTGAGTTCTGTTTGAGTTTTGTACTAATCTGATTTTTACTTTCTCCCCCAATTAGTATATATGGAGGAAGTATTGTTTTCGTCAAAATTTTCGAGTTTGAGTTTTGAGTGGATAAATTTGTTTTGGGGCCCCCCTAGATCCAAAACAGAGGTTTTCAAAGTGATGTCTGTGTGTGTGTTTCTGTATTATGTGGATGTGTACAGAGCTACAGACCACACGTCCTGCAGTCCAATTTTGATGCAATTTGGTATGAACTACTGATAAAACTATTTTGGCACAACCACCTGCTATTCATAAATTATTATATTTCCGAAGTGTCCCAAGAGATTATTATACGTACATCATGGATTATACTTCTTAGGATAAGTATAATCAAAGGTTGTTATCTTCTGCAATATAGCTGAAAATGAAAAAAAAACAATCCAGATCCAAAATCCCAGTCAGTACAGTTCACTATATTAGATAGAAAAACTACAAAATCTAATGTCATTGTCATGTCATGTCATCATAGGCTACATGGTTATCAGTGATCACTCATCATAACATCAATCAACCAACTCAACTCAAATAAGTTGCGTGATTTTTAAACACTTGTGCGATTTAGTATTTTAAATGGACATTTTTTAAATAAGAAACTTAGAAGTGATCCATCACTTAGTTGGAAATTAATTCTTGACTCGGTATTGTTATTGATATTCGCTAGATAATTATTTGAGGTTAAGTTATATAAGTCAACTAAAATTCAAAGGTTAAGTTAGCTAATACTTTGATCAAGTTAGGTCAAACAAAGTGCAAATTAATTTACCCATTCATCAATTAATTACAAGACACTTCAGTGCACAAGCTACCATTACCATGTTTTCTTCAAAGGTGCTCAGTTCTGGCTTGCTTCAAAGTGTCAAGGTAAGGTAACTTAATAGCCCTAGTTCTATCAGTAACCTTTTGGGCTTCTTACATCCTTATGTTATGAAGCGTAGGCCTAACATATTCTGCTACAGAATTGAACTAAGTTAGGCTAGGCTACATTTTAAATTATGTAAGATTTTAAAAGGTGTTCGCCTAAAATATAATCTTATCGGGGAACTAATTAAGGATAAGTAGGCTACATAAAATGAACAACAACTTTAAACTCCAGCTGCCTCTTTAAGTTAAATTGCTATCTAGGCCTAGCTTAGTTTGTTTAAGTTAAGTTATGGTAGGCTACATCAGTTAAATATTTGATTCTTTCAGGTGTCTTCTAGATTTCAAAGTACTCTAATCATCGCCGAACACAATAACGAGAAATTAGCCCCCATAACGAGACATGCCGTAACTGCTGCTACCGCTCTTGGTGGTGAAACTTCTGTCCTTGTGGCAGGTACCAAATGTTCACAGGTAAGTTTTAAAAGGTGATTTGAAGCTCATTTTATGAGTGGCTACCTTAGTTAAGTTTATGGATGTGATGGTAGTTTGAGTTATGAGCTTATGAGTTTTCCTGAAATAGGCCTACCGGATTTAACAAGGCTATAAATAGGCTGTAATACTCCTCTGGCATGACATCATCATAGGCGACGGCAATGACGTAATGTTATTGTTTTAGTAATATTTTTGTTTTACAAGAAAAGGTTAAAACAAACAGCTGATCACAAACAGCAAACATTGCGTCATTGCCGTAGCCTATGATGACATCATGCCAGAGGAGCAGTACAGCCTGTTTATTTAGTGTTGCCTTGCTTTAACCAACAACAATTTTAGTTCCAAAATCCTCTGATCCCAAACATTTCTAGCACATGTACTATCAATTAAGTTAACTTATCAATTATTGTTTTGCAAATCCCAGCTAGAGGTGCTTATTTAAATCAAAATATATGAGTGAAAGATGAATTTAAATGGATTGAGATGATTTTGAACTGCTGAATTTTGAATTAGCCTACATAGGTAAATAATTCAAAACACATTACAACGCCTGCAACTTACTAGATTAAAGGGCTCTGCAAACCTGATTATGGCAAGTTAAGTCATCATAGCCTAATAAAAAAAAAAAATATATTACTATTATTGAATTATTTATTACAGTGTGACCAACTATTTTACAGGTCGCCGACGAGCTCAGCAAGATTCCAGGTCTGTCAAAGGTGCTGGTCGCAGAACACGCAGCTTTCAACGGGTTTCTCCCTGAGAGTCTGACACCGCTAATCCTTGCTACGCAGAAACAGTTCAACTTCACGCACATCCTTGCCGGTGCAACGGCATTCAGCAAGGGTTTGCTTCCTCGTGTTGCTGCTAAACTCGATGTCTCACCGATTTCTGATGTCATCGCCATCAAGGCCCCCGATACATTTGTGCGCCAGATCTATGCAGGTGAATTAATTTTGCGGAATAAAGTTTAAACCTTTTCAATAA